TTACGTGGTCACGTAAGATGGCGTCATTTCGTGCAGCGTGATCACGTAAGATGACGTCATTTCGTGTAACGAGATCATGTAAGATGACGTGTTTGTGTCACGTCATCACGTAAGATGACGTCAGTTCGTATGAACTGACGTCATCTTACGACAACGCCAACAACATTAGTGCCGTCCGGAACCATTGACCTTAGAAACGCGCTTCTTCGCTTGAAGAGCTGATATGCGCTGATTGTTATTTGTTTCTTTTGCCTACTACAGACCATTCAAGAACTCGCCTTCTGGGTGCCACCAACTTCGTCTACTGGGCTGTGAAGCGCGTTCGAGCGTGCGCAATACCTCTCTAGGCCGAAAGATTGTACACTGAGTATGCGTTCACAGCTCAATGACTTTGGCATTTTTCGTCAGCATAGATGCTCCCACGAGAAGAGCGTAATGGATATGTGAATAGAATTGGAAATTTGAAATGTTCTTGTCCAATCGCATTTTTCTTTGGTTATCAACGCTTTTTAGCGTCATCACAAGACGTTCAACCCATAATACACTGGTGATTAAAAAATAAGCACCGAAAAACATGCACCGATTTTCGCTCAAAAATAAACACCGGAAAAAAACATACCGTAATCATTACCCATGTCACCTTTTTGGGTGATATGTGAATTTCCAGAAGAACAGCGAGTTATCACCCTCCCCTAGGAATACCCTGACTACAGAGCAGGCGACCCGTTTTTCCCCGCGTTAGATTGTGGTGACCACGAACCGTACGGAGGTCACAGGACGTCCGTGAAAAATAAAAAGGAGGCAAACAACGATCTACTCTGTGCACGCTTCATCCCCAATTTCCACGACCCCAAGGCCGAAGGACGTTTGTGTGAAGGATAACGATAAAATAAAACTTTGCGTCAAAAAAAAAAAAGCCCGTTTTTAAAAGAAAAAAAAAAAGTAGAAACAAGCACAACGCGTTGACGGACCGCGAGGTTGTGGAACACCTCGCGGTCCGCTTGCCACAGGACGGTTGTCTTCGACCCATAGCTCCAAGGTGAATTTGCCACTTGCGAAAACACGGAGACCTACCCAGCGAGAACCAGGAAAGCAAGACACGCACACTGACGCCTCGGCGTGCAGAATGAAACAGGATGCGGGCGCGGAATACGGCCGCGGAAGAACACCTCGCACAGTGCCGATCCGGCCGATCTCCGAACGGACGATTTCGCATTTCGTGGACAGCGAGCGCCACCGCACGGGAGAGAGAGGTACCTTAAAAACGACGAAAACAAGCACCGACACCTTGGTTCTTTATATTTGCTGTAGTTACGGAACAAATCGACTTACATGAATAATTTGAATATTATTCGATTCCGTAATAAATTTAGAAGACATTAAGCGCAATTCTTCTTATGTTTGAATTTAGATAATTTTGTAAATTCGCTCCGAACGCAAGAGTGCCGAATTAGCCGATTTTGACCATTTTCATGATTTTTTAAAGAATATAATTAAATTTATGACGAAACATCTGTTGCGTTTAGTGTCTCGATAATGACTCAATGTCTTTAAAGCCGAAATTTTCAAGAAGATCCGCGCAGCCGTTATTATGTGAGAATGTTTTTAATTTGGTGAAAAACCTCATGTATTCTCTATGGGGCTCTGAGGTGCGCCCCCTCCTAAGAGCACAAGCCGGAAAACATCGTTTCATAAATTTAAAAAATAAAAAAAAATGTCGCGTTGTTATTACCGGTTTGAAGCCAACAGGTGGTCTGACGCAGTTTATATGCCGGCACGAATCACCACCCAGAAACACTTGCTCCGTCTCACGTTACGACGGACTGCGGCAGACGGTACGAGCAATCCAAGCCAATCCACCGCTGCGAGCGCGTCACGTATCTACGCGCCCCGCGCGTTGCTGCCAACCTCGTTGGTTGCTGCGCACTCTGTTGAGGGTCATGTGACACTCCCGCGGCTTTGGATTGGCTTCGTTGGCTCGCAGCGTCTTCTCCAGTCCATCATAAGGTGAAACAGTGCGTATGCACCTTGGGCTACTGTAGCCTTTCGGAAAGGCATGGGCGCACATTTGATTGATAGATGAAGTGGCTACGGCTGAACCCTGTATCACGGTTAATTTAACCCTAAAGTTGGGCAGAAAGAGAACAGTTCTTTCTTTTTCTTTCTTTTTTTTCTTCTTTTATACAGTGGTAGAAAGACAAACAGAAACAGACAACGTCTCTATTAAAAAAAAAAATATATATATATATATAGTCTTCCTGACGAAGGCCGGACTCCGGCCGAAACGTCGAAGATTAAATCGTCCGTTGTTGCTGTTTTTCACTAAGGGTTTTTTTCTTCTCAGTTTTTATATATATATATATATATATATATATATATATATATATATATATATATATATATATATATATATATATATATATATATATATATATATATTAACGCAGCGGGGATTTAAGCCTGCTTCGAGTACGATAAATAAAAGTACAGCTCGCCTGAGCGCAAACTGCATTTTCGTTGGAGCCTTTTTTTTATTTTTTTTTATTTCAGTCATTGGAATTGCATTTCTTCGCAACTTGGCGACGCACCAGGTTGCGCGAATTCTTTAGATTGACCAAGGCCTTAATTGTAAATGACGTTGCCACATGCCCCATAAAACCAATCATTAAAAAAGGGTAATTAATAGATTTCAGTTACTTATAGCCAAAAAACCGTGATAATTATCCTTATTTAATGTCCGTCGAGCCTGATCAAATCATCGCTCAGTCGGCACCCGTGTAACTCTCACCCGTTTTTCTAAATCTTCTCGCATTAAAATGAAATATCTATGCATTAAACTCTACACAAAACATGAAGAGGAGCGAAGCTGGCAAAAGATTGTGAAGAAGGAGATTTTTATAAACCTCAAAAACAGCGTGCCGACGTTTCACTAGGAGACTAGCTTCTTCGACAAAGTCTTCGTTCTTCTGGGGCATTTACACTCACAAGAGATTCGCTCCGTCCTAAACTCCAGCATCAGTATTTTTATACAGCTCGCAATGAGCAAAGCGCACACAGAAAACTATGGAAAGGCGTCATTGCTGACGTCATTGTCATATATCAGGGGTGGCCAAGCTGCGGCTCTTCGCGTGTTAAAGTGCGACTCGCGGCTCCCTCCCCCTCCTCCCTCCCGACTCCCCCCGCCTCCCTCCCGGTCACACGAACACTTCCCCAAAAAGAAAAATGGGAGGCGTTTTAAATTGAAAGACAGGCTGCGGTTTGGTAGCCTTGTGCTACTGCTACCGTAAGTACACTTGGACTGCTTTAGACTTGGATAGACTGAACAAAAATTTGTCCCCCCCCCCCCCCCCCCCCCCCCCCCCCCCCCCCCCACCGCGGCTCTTGGAAGTTTGGGGATTTGGTTTGCGGCTCTTAGGCCGGGTCAGCCTGGCCACCCCTGTCATGTACGAATGGTATTTATATACAAAATGCCTAATTTTATTTAAATTTTTTTTTTTTTTTTACATATGATGTGAGAGACAGACTAGTTCTGTTTTGACCACATATTTTTCAAGCTCGGCAGATATTAGATATGGGCATGATTACCACGGTAAGTTGACTAATGAACTAAAATTTCATAACGAAGCGTTTTTATATTTGGTTTCGAGGGGTCATGTTAGAATTGCCGTATTAATGATACCAATTTTGTTTTTCTGTCAAAAAAAATAAAATGACGGGGGGAGACTGAGAAAAAAGAAATAAAAAGCTGCATGATGCACCTTAGATTTGGGAGCAGTGACACGGAAAAGTAAACACATGAAAACCCATGAAAACGCAGCACCAAAAAACAACTAGTTCAGAATTCAAATTAATAAAAGACACCTGCAGATAGCAAATTACGTACAGGCACAGTGTAGCCCAGTGCAACGAAAAATGTAATATATAATAGACCTTTGCATCGCTTATCACCCGGGAGAAAAATGCTGAGTCACTGAGCTGTAGGCGCAAGCGCAGCGTCTGATATACCGCGCAGCAGAGCACAACAGCGCATGCTCAGAAGACGTTCCGCAGCACAGCAGACAAAGATGGCAGCTCGCAGAAGGCGATTTTAGCAGAGGTATATATATAATGCAAACAAGGTTTGTACGGTGATTATTATGCATTTACTATCTTTTACTGGTGAAGTAAGAAGGTTCATGTTTTGGGTGTCAAGAAAGGCGATTACTATTATAGGTCAGACCTGTTTAAAGAACTGGCGAAAATGTTATGGTTTCTGAGATTTAAATGACCAATTTCGTGTTTTTTCGCCCGATTTAAAAATAGTGTTAAAAAAGAGGGTATTAAGCCTCGCACACAATAACGCTTGGAAGAGTGACGTAGTCGTTTCAATCATGTCGTCACCATTTCGGTAGCGTGTCTTTGGTGGGTGCGCCGACGACACAAGTGACGACGTTCTCAAAAATCATTTCCTTTTCGCAAATTCTTTAAGTTGGTCTGACCTCTAAAAGTAATTGCAGTCTATACTACAATTGCAACATGGCTCTTAAAACCAACAATTAAGAAGATAAATAACAAATTTTAGTTAACTAGTCAGCCTAGCATAACGATTAATATATCATTCAACGTCCGCCGAACGTATACATGAAGACACCACCACGTCAAACCTCACCCCCTTAAAAAAAAAAAAAAGAAAAAAAAAAGAAAGTTGATTTAAAATTATGCACACTGTATAATAATTCACATTGGTTGAATCAAGAGTCACTGAATATGTATTCAGTGACACTAGTCGAATCGTTCCACTGGGTATTTGTACAGTGATCCTCAAGCTTAACGCGGCCGCCACAAAATGGTCCGCTTTTGATACTTTTTGTGACATTCCTGGCACCTGGGCCTACCGGTCGAGCTTTGTGGTGACGCTTTGAACCTCCGACCATAACCCAGCCCGAGGAAAATATTCCAGCTGCTGCAATGACCAATCTAGCTTTGACTTGCCCACAATAGACGAATAGTTTGGCAACCGAATGGCGGCACTAAGTTTGAGGAGCACTTATACATCGTTGTCGTGCGTCGAAAGTTTGAACATAATATTTTAGCATGTAAACCGCCTAACAACAAGCACACTATTCTAATCCATCATACTCACACATCTCAAACAGATTTGGCATGATAGCCGCCATTGACGAGAGCGGAACGATCGAAGAGAACTTCAGCGGATGCCAGTTCGAGAACGTCATCGATGCCACGGGCTGCTGTGTGATCCCCGGTAAGGCAAACTTTATTCGTGTACGAAACCGCACACCACATTGCTCTGTAATTAACACACACCTTGTAAAAAAAAAACAAAAAAAAACTATGTTTTTACAAGAAGTATAGTTTTGTCCAAAAGGCCATCTGAATTCGCTTGAAAGGATATTGCATGCACCTGCACACAGTGGTTACTTTGCTGTTACCACCGTCGATGGCAGATCAACCAATCAATCAATCAAGAGTTCATTTATTCAATTGATCGACCAACCAATCAATTGTTTTTATTCGCAGTAGATGCATGACACAAGCTGTCGAAAACCCATCTGGGCCCATATAGTCATTTTGGCTAGCTTGGGCTCCTTTTAATATTAGCGGCGAGATGTTTTAGTGGCGCCCTCCTACGGCTCCCCCCTTGTGACGTCATTACCTTGCCAACAACAAGTTCGATGGTGTTTGTTAAATATTAGCATGGTGGAAGCTTGAAATCATTGCGCTCTCAAAGGAACACTGCCAACACCGTCAAAATTAAAGTTCTTTCATTCCTCTTATTTCCGTCGATGATAAATCCTTTCCGACGTCATAGTCAGCGTTCGGCCGATCGTGGAAGGCGGACCACAGCGACGCTTTCGGTCGCGCACGTCGCCAATACACATAGGGCGCTTGCGTTATGGTTATTTTGTCGCCGGGGCAAAGTTGGTGGACATGGCGGTGACATAAAAGAGGCGATATTGGTTAATTAGTTAGATAATAAGCTAAAGGCTACATCTCTAAATTTTTATGTTGGGGAGGGGGGAGGGGGGCGGAGTCTTTAGAGAATCCACCTTTTTCAACTCACCTAGACACGCGACTGGGTTCAAGACGTGGCTAGAAAACAGCGCGCGCACAAGGCCTCTCCTACCCGTTCGACTCCCAAAACAAATACTCCCAAAACGTCAGCTACATCCTGTTTGCCCATTGAGTCGCTGTGGCCTAGATACGGCTCCCCCGAACTACGCTCCATCGTGATCGTGGGTTGTCTTCGACCCCGAAGTTCATACAAAGAAACCGTCTAGCCTCTTTGCTCGGCCAAAATTAATTATAGAAAGAGAGGGAGCCAAATCCATTTACTCTCGAACCGATATTTCTGCAAATAGTCCACTGACGCTCGACCTCAATATTGTGGCGTGAAAGTGGCGAGCCCGGCGTTGGCCCGGCGCTGCCAGCTTGGGCGCTGATGCGCTCGAGAGGCAGCGCGTGCCAGGGCGTGATTTGTTTCACGAGATTCGATTAGATGCAGCCTGGCCTCGGCAAACCGTCTGCTCCGCGTATTATTCACCCCTTTCGAAAGTGCAAGCCCTCAGTTGGAAGCTGTGGAATTCCTGCACAATGACGGACAGGGGTGCGAGCTTCTTGGGTTCGAATGCGTCCCGGCTCACGAGCTTTCGTGCCGCGAGAGTACATGTCGAGGCTACCGCTCGCTGTACTTGTACGTTCCGCGGTGTCGGTTGTTCCAACATTGTGCAATAAATCGTTTTTTTTTTTCTTTTCATTTTTTTAGTTGGTATGTGATTTTTGAAAAGGGTTTATATAATCTAACCGTGCATTGAAATGTTTAAAAATTCGTACCGCGTTCAGTTTACGCAGACGGTATTCGCCTCTGATAAACTGAACGTTCAGTTTACCAGGCGGCACTACCGAGTTCAGTTTATCAGACGGCGTTCGGAAACCACAGGCAACGATACGGGCATCATTAAATTCCTGTTACTAAGTCAGAATGGTGGCTGCGCGGGAAAGCTTTAACAACTCCTCTATAAATCACTGCAAAAAGTCGCCTTCATTTTTAAGGTCTCGTCGACTCTCACACGCATCCAGTCTGGGCTGGAGACCGCGTGCACGAGTTTGCAATGAAGGTGAGTGGCGGAATACGGTTCCTCGCATAATTTTTTTTTAATGCGAAATCATTAGCTGGCCAAAAGCACCTAAATTCCCCGATCCCAAAGGAGTGGAGTAAAGCTGGTGGTTTTCTGCTCCGGTCCCATTGGCTGGCGCGGGTCGACGAGGCTCCCATTGGCCGCTGCGCGTCAGTTTCCCGGCCAGCTGCCAGGCTTTGCAGGCCCAATGCTCTACTGAAGGGGGGACCCCTTGATTGAAGTTTTTCTTTGGGAGGAGGGGAAAAGTAATTATCACTACGGCGATCTCTCTCTTTTTTTACTTTTTTTTTATTGCGTTTTTTATTCCCTGTTCCCTTTTCCCTTACTTTCTAGTCTGTTCCTTTTTTACTAACTCCTTTTTTTTTTTCCTTTCTCCCAGTCGGTCTTTTCTTGGTGTGGCCCAGCTTAGTTCAGTTCCCAATTGACTTTTTGGTAAAATTTCCAGTTGATCAAGGGATCAAATTCTGCTAAGGTTGAAGCCTGGGCGAGTTGGTGTGACATACTTAAGTGGATCAAATTCATTTATATCGAATTGGTTTTAATATCGGCTGTGCCAGGTGGTACCGATCGAGGATCATATATATATTTGTCATTCTTTTTTCTCACCTTAACAAATGTATCGGATAGCGGAAGTCGCGAAGACTTGGCGGTTTTCGGGACCCGCAATTCGGTTTGGTTTGGACCGGCCTTTACCAGTTCTGGACTGGCCGGCCCGGAACTGTGGAACCAACTTCGCCATCGTGTGAAATAGAATATGCTTCTTCGTGGCAGCGCACATAGTCCTGGGGTCGTCCTCTGGATTCTCTAAGGTTCCAGAGATGTCTTGCAGTCGTTCATGACATCATGGGACATCTGTGGCGCCTGGGATCCACAGATAACCAGCTCCTAATTATTAAAAGAAAACGTGTTTTTTTTACTACGCTTGGGTTTTTTAAAGCTTTTAGCAGTTGGTCAGGCAGCTGCTCCGGAACTGGAGGAAAAGGGGGGGGGGGGGGGGGCAGTCGCTCCTACAGGCTGCAGTGGGGGCGACTGGTAGATTTCAAATTTTGTTTAAGTATCCCTTTAAAACGCTCTTCACATTTGGCAACGTCGACAGTTAGCCGGAGCATCGTACCTCGAGATCCACGCTCAGGGAGGCGGCATTCACTTCACGGTCGACCACACCAAAGACGCGTCCGCGGAAAGCCTCTTGGATTCCCTGGTGGATCGGCTCGGATGCATGCTTCGCTCGGGCACCACCCTGGTAGAAGCCAAATCCGGCTATGGTCTGGACCTCGAGTCCGAAGTCAAGCTGCTGAGGGTCATCGACGAGGCCAGGGCTCGGACACTGATCGAAATTTCGAGCACCTACTGTGGCGGCCATGCGGTGCCCAGGTGAGCCAACTCACACTCCATAAAATGTCGGATTCTTTTTTTTTTATATAAATGTATGATTATGAAATTACAGTTTATTGCTAAAGATGGCCCGGATACGTGTGGCCGAAAGGTGCTACGTGTTGAGATAAAGGGGTAGCCACCGATTTTTCGAGATGCTCAAACTAAAGTAGATCTTTTGAATACCCTGGTCTTAGTCTTTCCGGCGTGCTATTCGGTATGCTTAAATTCAGAATAGCCTTTGAGTGGAAGGTAAGCGAAAGTTAAATGCCAAAATTAACGATCAATTTCTACCGCGCTCTTCAGTGGCGCAAGGTCACTGGCAGGCAGACTTGCGCTGTAAACGCGCTGTAAACACAGGCCGGTGCATAATCGAGTCCTGTTTTTGAGTTTTAGTAGATCGCTCCGATTACTCCGATAACGTACCCGCTACTCTGCCGATGCCTTAGCGCGTGCATCGTGTCGTTATCAGATATCGTTAACAAAACGCTATACTAAAACTCCCTAATATGTAGTTTTAGTAGCTCGTTCCCATACTTCCAATAACGATACCCGATAACAATGCGATGCATGCACAAAGCGTTAGGGAATATTAGTAGATTGTTCCGATTCCTCCAATAGCGATACCCAAGGTGATGCATGTGCCAAAGTGTCGGCGGAATATTGGATATCGTTATCGGAGTTATAGTAACGCTCTTCTAAAGCTCCCTATTATCTGGCGTCTGCCACAGGCTTTCAGGCGCGTCAACGAAGTAACGAAATCAAACTGGTATGACGCACCACAACATGTTATTCAACATGTATGGGCGTGCCAATTCCTTTTATTTAAATTGTGGCACACAAAATGGGTTGGCGCGATTGTCTTTGTGGCCGACAGGGGAAAAACCGTGGGAGAAGCCACGGAGGACATCGTCCGCAAGCAGATACCGGAGATCAAGAGGCGGATGCTGGAAGGCACCCTGAACGTCGAGAACATCGACGTCTTCTGCGAGGAAGGAGTCTTCGATGTTGACAGCACCAGGAGCATCTTGCAGGCCGGCCGGAGCCTCGGTCTGCGCCTCAACTTCCACAGCGACGAGCTGTCCTGCATCGGAGGAACTGAGGTATGAATCTCAGGGTGGAGAATAAAAATCAGATGATTGACATCAGACCAGTTTTACTATGACGATCTAGATCGATCCATTCCGCAAAAACAATCCTGACAATAATTTGCATTTTTACAGTTTGTCTATCATTGAATATTTTCGTATCAAAGAATCATCAAGTAAGAAATATTTATATAACGCTGAACACGAGCGTCGAGCTTTTGTTTAGCCTTATAGAGCGTTGAGCCCAATTTCTACCTTTTATTTTGTTCGTCAGCTATGTAACATCCTACTGCAGCAAAATCAGAACGCAAAAGAAACGAAAAATATAAAATAATGTCCTATTGAAATCAAATCAAAACGCAAAAGGAAAGAGCAAAATATTTTTTATCATTATATAATAACAGCGCCCAAGCAGCGAGGAAGAGAAGAGAACACAGGGTCCAGTTGATGTATTGTATCTATACATCATTTCGGAGTCAGCGCTCTGTGTTTTCTTCACTGCTTATCCGCTGTTTTTTTTTTTTTTTTTTTTTAATATGAGGCTCAGTTAGTGTAGTGGAACACGACACGCAGAGTCCGAGAGCCGGTGACAAAGCCGAAGCAGCTCGCTCCCGGCAGCTTTATTTATAACCAACTTAACAAACACGTGGCGCCCTCTAGGTTAGTGGCGCTACTGTACATCTCTCCTAACAAAACCGAAGATACCAATTAAGTCTAAAACCTAAAACCCTAAAACCATCAACTCTTAATTCCCAACACCACAACGACACCACAACAACACTACAACGTTGGAAAGAGTACACAGACCGTAGTTGTAGGTCGAGTCTTTTGGGACGGACTATCGCCCGACCATGTCGAGACCTCTGAACTACTTCAGACTCAGGATCCAAGGGTCTCTGACTGACGACGTCAGGGGTTGCTGGACGGCTGAGAGTCCGCTGCTGCGGACCAAGAGGTCCATAACCAAGTGACTCGTCCGACTCCTGTCGATCAGGAGGTTCTGGAACAGGCGCCACTGGAGGCTTGTACGGCACCAGATGCTTCCGGTTCCGGAACCTCCTGATCGACGGGAGTCGGACGAGTCACTTGGTTATGGACATCTTGGTCTGCAGCAGCGGACACTCAGCCGTCCGCTGCTGCAGCCGTCCGCTGCAGCAGTGCGGCGAAACAAAAAAATTTAACTAACAAGAAAAAAACATCTGTTTTTGTACTTGTATGGAGGGGATTACGGCAATAAAAACTTGTTGAATAAACTTTACATTTACGGTTACTTTTTTGCTACGCGTTCTTACCAGTGATATCGGACGAATTAATCAGTCAATCTGCCAGGTTGAGAAATAGATCTAGTGGTATAAAGGATCACTATTTTCTTGCTTCAGTGATTTACAAAGGGTGTTCCATACAACAAACCCTACTTCGCAATTCTAAAGGTACTATTAATCGAGATAAAGGTGCTGAAAGAGTGTAGCCATGGGTGTAAAACACCCTTTTACACCCTGAAAGGTGTGAAAAGTTACTCTATTATATGCTAGAGTCGTGTCCCTCAAGGGCCCCAGAGCGCGGCAATGGCGCAGGCTCCAGTCCCGGCCAAGCGACCACAGCGTGAAACCGAGGAACTGGAATCAGATGTCGCTTGGTTGAAACCGCGGATGCATCGAGCCTCTTCTCCTTGTCAGTTCGCTACTTTAGTGGGTGCAGGCTCTGATCGCGACGGACTCTCTTGTTTCCCCGCACGCAGATGGGGGCATCGCTCAAAGCCGAGGCCATATCCCATCTGGAGCGTGTCTCACCCGCGGGAATGCGAGCCATGGCCGAAGCTGGCACGACGGCGGTGATCCTGCCGACGACGGCCTTCATCTTGAGGCTCGAATCCCCGCCAGTGAGGGACCTGATCCAAGCCGGGGTCGCGGTCGCCCTTGGCTCGGACTTCAACCCGAACGCGTACTGCACGTCCATGGTGGGTGATGGCGTGGGCGTCATGCTTGCAACTCGAAGGAGAAGAGGCATGGCGAAAGCGTCCGGCGCCGTCCAAGTGCCGAGGATTGAAAGTATAGTGACAGGGAGAGGCAGCTAGCCTTTGCGTCACTATTCCTCCAATCCGAGCTCAGCGCCTTTACGCCACCGCACGACCTCAACTCCTCCGATTTCCCCCCGCGATGTTTGAACGTTCTGAGCATGCGCACTCCTCTCTTCTGCGGAGTATCCCGCGTCGCACATGTTTCCACAACTCGGTGACTCCGCATTTTACGTCTGGGTGCACCGGCAGTGTATGATAAGCAATGACGCTTGAATGAGAGCAGCGGGCATATCACTTGTCCGGTCTATATAGTGCATATATGAAATCAATGCTGCTCTTTTGATGCACTTTCGAAGCACACAGGATATACCGAAGCATGCATCACTGAAGGTATGGAATAAAGATAGCGCTGCGTGCAGGACAACTCGGAGAGCCCCCCTTGCGTTCGACGACTGGGCGTGCAGAATGGGCAGAACTTTATGGCTTCAGAGAAGGCGAATCACGTATACGCGCATGGAAGTGGACGTTCAGTTTGCTTAGCCGGGAGCGGATGAGATTAACTCTCCGGCTTAGGGAGTGCCACAATGAATATAATATCAATGCGTGAATTAGAATTGAGATTTCGTTTAAGCCTGGCTCTGAGGTAAAAGTCAATTATGTATTTCGAAGGAATTATAAATATGTAGAACTCAGGGTAGATATTAAAGAAACGTGCGTAAATTGCTGACGAATGTATTTTTCGGGGAGCAATATTCAAGATAATTTTTTCAAAAAAGTAATGCACATTTCGAGTAGATTGTTTCCTACAGCGACCAACGCATGCGACATCGAATAGAGCATTTCAAATTTTAGTTAATATCTTCACTGGGGCTATTAATCCATTAATATGCATTATATCATCCTGACCAAGGAAATGCGACGTCCAAAGGTGTCAAGGCCAGTATGCCTGCGATATACCTTCTCTGATCATTCATGACTAGCGGCGATAAGAAGGATGATGATCATGATGATATATGCAAGGATTTTCATGTATTTATTTGTACCGCATGGGTCCCTTCGTCCGTATACCTCCAAGCCGATGGTGATGTACCTGGCCTGCATCATCTGCCACATGAGCCTCGAGGAAGCCTTGGCAGCGTCGACCATCAACGGAGCGGCCGCGTTAGGTAGATCCGGGACCCACGGCTCCATCGAGGTTGGCAAGATGGCCGACCTAGTCGTCGTCGAAGCTCCATCGTGAGTTTTGAGATGTCTCCAGACACCTTGTAGGTTCAGGGACCGACCACGCACGACTTTCGAGATAAGCGTAATAAGCGTCTGAGAAAAATGTCAGCAATCTTCTAAATTTTATATAGTATGCATGCATGCTCTTTAGGAGCCTTTCAAGCTATAGTCCGTTGCAACCTAAGAACGAAGGGCGAGGGTAAGATGGGCCGGGGAGGAGGAAGCAGACGGAACGCTAAAGAGAGAAGGAGGTTTCCCCCTCTCTTCTCCAGCATTCCCTCTGCTTCCTCCTCCCCGGCCCGTCTTACCCTTGCCCTTCGTTCTTAGGTTGCAACCGACTATTAGAGGCGAGATGTTTTGGTGGCGCCCTCCTATGGTTCCCCCTTGTGACGTCATTACCTTGCGAACAACAATTTCGATGGTGTTTGTAAATAGCATGGTGGAAGCCTGAAATCATTGCGATCTCAAAGCAACACTGCCAACACCGTCGAAATTAAAGTTCTTTCATTCCTCTTATTTCCGTCGATGGTATACCCTTTCCGACGTCATAGTCAGCTTTTGGGCCAATCGTGGAAGGCCGACCACAGCGACGCTTTCGGTCGCGCACGTCGCCAATAGACCATTCCAATTAGCGCTCTCTGGGCGGCACCATTTTGTTCGACAGCAGCGCCCTCTCCATACATCCGGGAAATTAGTGGGTTCGGCGGGGTAAAACGAGAGAGAGGGCACGCGCCCGACTCCGCTAGCAGACGACAAAACGGGAGGTTGCCATTCTCCATCGTTGGGCTGTATCGGCGGGCCGTACGGAACATCGAACTCTCGCTCGTGGCTGCCGTTGTGAAGTGGTTCGCGTTCTTAGAATAGTTATGGCTAATCCAAAATCAGCCTAGAGCTCTCGGTTGTTCTACTTCGGTAAATGATCAACTGACATATCTTTTTTTCCGTTACTTAAATAGCAGTTGAGTCGGCCGGTAGTACTACCCTCAACTACTGCGTGTATTGCGGCAAGAGCGCACGTTTTTGTTTATTATTTCAGACATCCACTCATGGTCGCTAAAGGCCTACACCAGTACGATCTTTGTATAGTAAAAAAGGTACAGCCACCGGATTCACTTTTCGCCGGAGAGACCGGCCAGTCTTACACAGTTTTCCCTTTTTTTTCTATTTGCACGCAGATAGTCTTTTTTATCTAGCATAGTAATACACGACAACTGAAATACCAAAATCTGCGCATCTGCGTTTGAAATGTACGCTAGCCGGATGCTAGGTACTGCCCACTCGGTGGAGCAGAGGACGTGCGTGGTACCATAAATTCGTCCAAGTTTGGTCAGAATAGAACGAGCGATTGAAGGAGATTGTAACTGACTCGTCGAGAGCACGGAACGGTGGTTGAAAGGGAACTGATCGTTCCATTGAGATCAGCAATGTTATAGCCTCCTCTACACTCACAAAGCCTAGGCAGTTCGACGACGGAGCCATAGGGCGCCTGGCCGCAGATTTGGAGAGCGAGGATCTGGTGGCACAGAGCATTTCTCGGGGAAGCTGGTAGTGAACGCACAGCATTTGCAGCGGCGAAGGCGCGCGAGGAATACGAGCGGACATACCATCGCTCGGGAGAAGTGTGTTTCGGCGTCTCGCCGCAGCGGGGCGCCCGTTACATGACTCTCCTCTCATCCGTTGTCTGCCGCTCTACCTTTCCACTTTCGGCGGCCGCGTCTCATGGCGATCTGCCAGGCTTTGTCAGTATAGACTATGGCAATGCAAGTATGCGGGATACTCACTGAGCGAATGATTATGTCAGGTTCGAAAAAAGCTCTCCTTTTCCCATTCTGCGTGGATGGCGTGTTCATTTTTTTAATAAATCTGTACTTAGGTCCGACATGCTAAACTTCTAAAGCGGCAAGAAAGGTTCAGAGGTGCACACTTTTGTGGGCTATTCCTTCCTAGGATTTTTGTTAAACGTAAATCGTTATCAGATATTTTCGGATATTCGTAAAACAAACAATTTTTGCACATAAACATTTCCCGTCAAATTCCTCTGCAAATATAGGACGTATATCTTTCTTTAGGTGTAGCCAAGGTGATTTAGCTCTTCGTTTATTTTCATGGTTTGTATACTCCTGCGCAGCTATAGCTTTACACTGACCTATACACTGATACAGACTAATAGGGTGAGAGCTCATACTTCACATGTTTATTTTACGATCGAATTCTTTCTTTTTCCTTTGCAGGTGGGAGCACCTCATTTACCAGTTCGGGTGCCACGATCGAACCATCAAATGCGTCATCAAGGCTGGAAACGTCGTCCACACAAGAGAATCGTCGTAGGCAGAAGAGAACCTGCACTTTGTTTCATCTTAAACCGGACCATGTGCGGAGTCACCCGAGTTAATAGTCGGTCTGGTCATTGGTCATGGCACAAAACCTTGCATTCCACGTGGTTCTAAATAAGGTGAAACGAAGTATGAACGAGCTTTAGGGTTCCGTAGAAATCACTGAATTGTTTGAGTAAACTTCGGAAGCTCTCGGAAGCTCTTAGCGTCTTTCCTTGGGTCCACGTGTGCGCACCGGATGGCGATTGCATCCTTCATTGAGCTCCCCGCCAATAAGCGTGTTTCATTGGCGGCGTGCACGCCAGGCGTGTGCACGAGTGTTGCACGGAGGCGCACTGAGAAAATAGGCAGGTTTTCAGTGTCAAGATGGCGGCGGCCATCAAGCAAGCAGGCTTTGTCGTTGGCGCTTTTGAATCGTCAAATCGGGAGCGACAGTGAGGACGAGGACTTGCTGGCCGCGATTCAGAGGCAAAAACGCATGCCTGGGCCTAAAACTATAGGCTATAGGTGGTATTCACTGAATGTGCATATTCGATTTTGCCAGGGAGCGCCACCGTCGCGCCGCCATCTTGAGGTCGCGTTTTGCGTGTTTTTGTTTCGGCGGCTTTTAGTACGGTGGCTTTAAACTTGTAAGATGCGGCTAAACCACGCTGAAAGAAACGATCAGGCGAAACGCGGCACGCAATCGGCCTACGCGAGATGAGAAAGAGACCTCGAAGATGGCGGCCGCGGTTGTCGACGCCAGCACACCTAGCAAGTGACGTCATGTGAATAGCACCTATATGAACCGCGTCGCCCACTGCTGCTCGGACGAGGAGGTATCTTGATGGGTGCCCGCTCCTTGGCCCGCTCGCACACCAGATTTTACGGTGTCGGCGGTGTTGTGACGGTCCGAGCATTCTGCGCGCTGCCTTTGCGTGAGCGATTCTGCTCCTAATCCTGCTAACGTATAGAGACGTTTTCCGTTTCCTGTTGTTCTCAGTCACGTGGGTCCGTACCTGGTATGCGGGACGAAAAAATAATAAAACGCTTCAACCTGGAACATGCGAGAAAATATACGTGAGGCAAAACAAGGATGTGTGACAATCACGCAGCGGCGTGGAGAGACCAAAACAATGTTTTACCGCGTACCAGAAGTGACGACAATCAAGATGGCTGCGCCCTTCGACGTTGTTGCGCTGTTGATGGTATCGCTGTGCCGCTGTACAAAACTGGGACGAGGTAACAAGCGTAAACATGCAGCCTTGAGCGATGCTTGCGTTGCACGAACGATAGACAGGCTCGAACCCTGGGGCTCACTGGTGTAACTACTATGTGCTGTGAAGAGTCCGCCGTGCATGAGCCAGTTCGATGATCAAAAGCTTTCAGGCGACAAGTGTAGACACGCCTTTTTTTTTTCTTTTTTTTTTTTTTTTTAATGAATCAAATTTTTAGAAGTTATTTTTCGCTCAAACTTTTTGTTTCAAGATGATAAAAAAAGAAAAAAAAAAAAAAAAGCTTTTATGGAACTGAAAAAAAAAAAAAAAAACTGCTCAGCCTCCACTAAAGGTGTCAATAGCGTTCCTTCACAGCTGCACGCTTGCATTAGTAGAGAGTTTTAGTAGATCGTTCCGATACCCCCGGTAGCCCCGATAACGATACTATGCATGCGCAAGGGAGGCGGTGGCGGAGTATCGGGTATCGTTATCGGAGTCATGGGAACGATCTACTAAAACTCTATTGAATCTTGTACGAACCTTGTCAGCAATTGTGTTCTGCTCTGCTCAACACGAATCTGTCTGTTTGACAGGTCGAAAATTTCAAGTGACTTATGAAAATTGTAGTAACTATACAAGTTCATTAGTTTTGAAAGTTGAAACTAAGATTAAAGCCCCTGTATCCTGGGAAAAGTGACGCCATTCATTGTTGTGGAAATGCTAGAGACACGTGCCGCGCACCACTTCTGGGAAGAACATGGCGTCTAAAATCCAGCTCAGTGCGGCGCTATGCCGCCATGATCTTCCCAAGGGCTGCACGTTACACGTGTCTCGTGCTTCGACGGACCTTGCGCTACTTTTAAAACATGAAGGGGCTTCAAATAAAATGTCCCCCTATACACTGCCCTCTTTTATCATTCTTTCCTGACACATCTTCAGCTGCTCCACTGTCAGCACGACCTTGCACGAGAGCGTGCCATTAGCAGTGACCGCGTTCATCTCGGGAGATCCTTCCTGCGACAAACCAACGGTTCAATGATAGACGCCCGATCCAACCGACGGAAGGACGCAACGACGTGAGAAGTTCAGGAGCAATGAGAGCACATGGCTGACAAGGTTGTACAGAGCGCGACACTGTTAGCGCGCGAACAAGCGATCGCCGGTTTTTCCAGTTTTACTCTTTAAGACCAAGGGATGTCATCCAAGTTATTATTGCAACGGAAAGAGCTCATTTAGTTTTATAATGTAAGCGATAAAATTTCGTACTCGCTAATACTATTTAGAAGTAAAATGCGTAAATGCGCCGATGTCGTGTTCGCGCTAACAGTGTCGCGATGAGAACGCCGCACTGTAAATGGCGCAGGTGACGTCGACGGTGTCAACCCTGGGCAGCGTTTGCATCCTCCATTGAGAAGCGCATCGGCGCCGTGGGCAGGCGAATCAAGTATTTCCGCTGCACTTAGAAAGACAGCTGACTCGGTGGCGGTGGCGCCCAACTAAGACGCTATCTGTAGTTACCTTGCAAGGTGTAGTTAAGGACCTACTAAATAGGCATGCTATAAAGTATCGGCCCTTCAGCCATCTTGGCGCTCAACATCATTGTTGCCAGTTATCTGAAGTTTTATCCGAAATCTCGGGAGACGCTTTTCCCGTCTTCCAGAAATGTTAAAACAATCCGCGACAGAGCAAGATGATATCACTAGATGATATCACCTATACGCGGCACCTTAGCAAAAGCTCGGAAAGTCGCACTCAATTGCCTCAACTTCGCCAGATATATTTGTTACGCCGCCGCAATGCATCGTGGGAATTTTACCCTTTCTGCACGCGCGATCCTCGCAGCGGGTTGGAGCGAGCAGAACACGAGCTGTCTCGCTCGCTGCCTCGTGTTAACCAACACTATACTAGATTACCTCAGTCGTGGAACTCCCGCGACTTGAAGTCGCACACAAGGATAGCACTTCTCGCCCTATAGCACCCACTATAAATGCTTCTCAATATTTCACGGCACTGCAAGACCGTACGCGGTGTGCAAGTTCGTGTTTCGTTTGCAGGGGTTGTGGTGCCGTCAGAACGCCGAGCTTTGGTTGAAGAATAGTGGGTAGACCTCAAAGCAAGCTGCATTGAGCACCCACTGTCCCTCAATCAGAGCCAATCAGAGCTCGATGTTCTGACGTCACCACAACCCCTGGAAAAGAAGCAGACGAGCTTGCTCAGCCTCAATTTTCCAAATACATTAAGCAAAAAAAAAAAAAAAAAAACATTTTAATTAAATATTTTTGTTAATTAGCTATCTAACCCATTTCTAGTGGCCGCAATGGCCGCCATATTGTCCCAAGGACAAGGTGTGCCCAGGGCTAGAAGAACCCCAATGCAAGTTCCCCTTTCAAGCTGCTTAACCCGCTAAAGAAGCGCAGGGTCTCTCTTTCGGATGCCGAGGTTCCAACATGCGCTCATTGCCTTCCGTCATGCTTTGGCTGCGCGTGCACGAAGGGAGCTCGCGCTATGCCAAAGCGTTATCCAAAGAGGAAGTTCGCGCTGAAGACAGGACGACAGAAAGGAGAGAGTGGGTCATGGGCGGCCGGCGACTTCAGAGATTCGTTGGGTTTACCTAATCACCGGATGCAAATTATGAGCATTAAAAGGATAACAATTAGAGTTACTAGAGCTCTAAAATAATAAAACTCGGTGTGTATATTATGTAATGCAGATTTCCCATAAGAAATGATCTAGGTTGTTGATTTTTCGTGTCATGACTCGTGACACCTTTAATGCACGGTAAGCGGAAAATAACCTAGGTGTTAAAAATGAAGCATAAGAAACAGACCAAGTGTGGGAACATGCAAGCAAAGATAGCCGTGGCCAAGAATGTGAGATTAAAAAAAAAAAAAGAATTGTACATTGTCTTTCTTTACACTGATGCACTCATCCAAGGCATGCATAGTGTGTACATGTCTAGGTTTATTTCAGTGAATCGAGGAGCAATCCGTCATAGAGTGACAGTTGGAACTGGCTTCCTAGGATTTTATATATGTTTGTACATCTTTTAGGTGGAGCTTAACTCCCTCGAAATACGCAATTGCACTTGTTGCAGCTCAAAGTATAGGGATACACATTTCAGCTGCTTTTTGGAGGGCTTTGTCAAGAGCTTTACAAAAATGTCATACCAAATCATTTTACAAAAAGAAAAAAAAAAGAAATCGTAAGTTTTTTTTTGTGTTAATATATGCATTATTTCAACCAAATAATGCAGGTGCAATAAACAGGCTATGACAGAACCTGTAAGAACAACTGCAGTGTATTGAAGGAAACAAACATTCCTTCATCAAGTTCTTTTACAGTGCAGAGAGGCTTCAAGGAAGAACGTTTGTTCCCATAAGCCCCAATTTTGTTAGTAATACTTTTTGACCCGTCTGTGGGATGGTTAATTCCAAATACCAATGACTTATTGAAGGGCCAATCAACCTCTCGATCACTGCCATCAGGATAGATTCTGACGTCACAAATGACATCAATGTCCCCACTATTCTTTTTATAAAGGTCAAGAACAAGGACCATATTGTGACCAAAGACTTTACATGAGGTGCTCTCAAAGGATCCACTGCCATACTGCGATCCCCCTACCGCTTTCCTGGATGCCCAATCCCCGAAATCCCAGCGACATGTCATTTCCGTAGAAATGCATATCTGTTTCTGGGACATCCCTCCTCTGGCTGGCATCAGCTGGTTGCTCTGCTCACGCAGCTCCTTCGTCATGATGTTTCTGTTGGTGCTGACAGTGGTTTCCACATCCGCCACAACCCTCTGGAGTGCTCTCTGTTCTTCGCTGAAGCCGGCTGTGCAGAGCGCTGTCAAATCCCCAAACCTGTTAGCCTGATCTTCCAGCAGCTGTTTGCAGCTTGCATAAGTGGATGCGATCAGCTGGTCGCTCTGTGCATGCAGTTCCTTAACAATAAGGTCTCGGTTGCTGGTGCCAGCTGTGACCAAAGCAGCGACCACATTAGCATCAACAATCTGAAGTGCCTGCTGTTTTTCGGTAAAGCCAGCTGTGATGAGTGCATTGAGGTCATTAAGCTTGGAAAACTGGTCTTCCAGCAGGTCTTTGCAGCTTGTACCTGTTGCTCGGATGTCTTCAGAGCACTGGTTTAGGCTGCTCTGCAGGAACGTCAGGTCTACAGAAATCTTCCCCAGGGATTCTTTAAGTTCATTGCGTGCCTGTTCAATGCTGCCGTGATCAGGGTTGAGGGAGATGTTGGCAACTGTATCCATGGTTGGAGCTATGCTGCAGCCTTCTTTGCAGTGCCTCACAATGTTGCTCCGCACCACAGAGCAGCTACACTGAGGGCAAGACACAGTGTGGAAGGTGCATTGCTTGAAGTGATCCAGGAGGCTTGACACGGGGCCAATGAAGTTGCAGCCACTAGGCAAATTCCAGCAGGCCACCTTAAGAAAGAAAAAAGTTTGTGCTATGTGTGTAGCAGTTTGGTGAAGTAACCATTTGATGTCACTGAAACCTGTGTAGCATACGCAAACAAGCGTGCACAGGTTTCATAGCGATACAAAATGAAAGCAGGTGATATTTCCAAGCGAAATCTCTGCACACAGCAAGTCGATCTACACTAACTGTGCTGGATATTATATTATGTCAATGCATCATGTTTTCCATTTCGCTGCACTTTATAGAGCTGTGTACTTTGTCTATTCGAATTAAGCTTTAGTTTCTCTCATTTACTGGGAGCTACATACTATACTCCGTTTCACCTTACATCCAGACGCAGCGGATGCTACGGACTATCCTAGACAATCCCGCTCTGTCGACGTAGCCCGTGACACGCTTTCCGCGCGTGCTGCGCCCCCTCTTCAAGGTCACGTGACACTCACACGGCCTTGGATAAGCTTCGATGGCTTGTAGCATCCGCTGTGCTCGGACGTAAGGTGAAACGGAGTACAGGCACAACTAGCCATTGTATATGGCATATTTAACTGCCAGGTAATAAATAGTACACTAATAGTACAGTGGGCAGGAAACAATCACATGTACCAACATAAAGATGGCTTGTGCAGTAAGACAGGATCCAGGAGTCTTCCGTTTGTCCTACATACCAACAATGCTCTGACGAGAGCCTTTCTTTTTATGTATGAAGCTAATAACTCATGCCTATATTCACACTACATCAACATGTCCCAAGCTTCAATCAACATGCTTCAACGAATGAAGTGGTAAAATTTATAAATAGCTGCCAGTTATCTGGTTGCCATGATGCTTTTTCATGACTGAAATGAAGATTACCATTGCTGCTTCTGGTGTCGCTCTGCTAATCCATTTGCCTAGACTTGCGAGTGACAGTTACAGCTAGCATAGAGTGGCTCTAGATAAAACTACAGTTGGCAGCAACTCAAGAATTCAGCAATGCATGTCCTTCAAAAGAGTTCATATTACTCTGAAAGCCAAAACCTTTCATTCCCTCTCTTGACCTCAAGACCCTAAGAACAAACTTAACCCAAAATGACAGTACACCTAGCATCAAGACTGTTTATCACATTGACTTCATGAAGCATTATTTCTGCTCTTTACCCACCTAGGTTTACTTTACATGACGAAGTCATGCTGGTATCGGCTTTTGTTTGTTAGCCCTTTCCTCGTTACATCACAAAATTATGACAGTCTCAACGTTTGTTTGCAGTGGCGTCTGAGAGGTGTCCTGAAAAGGTTGCAGTCATCACTATCGAAGTTTGTGCTGCATAAAATGTGCACATTTGCTCTTTTTTCAGCTGACTATGGTGTTTATAAATGAAGGCTGTACAGTGAACTGATGCCTTCAAAGCAGCATTGTTCATCCATAAAACCTGGCACCCCTGTAATTAGTAGCACGGTAAGCTACGATTGAAAGTGACACTATGCTAAAACAGCCTCGTTCAACGAGACATAAATGTGCTGTGAGAAAACGTCCCAGCTGTGTCTGTGAGTACAACCCTGTGGGCAAAGCTTCTCCAGAGTTCTTGACTCGTCAGTGACTATACACCTTTCCAAAAAACGCTCCTAGGCTGCCGCCATGTTGCTGACGCTGATGCGGCTGGTGCGACCCTGGCTCCCTCTATCAGCTAGGAATTTTCTGCCACTCTCTTGGACTGTGAAAACTCGCTCAGCGCGATTCTCTACCCATGTTTTGCTGTTTTGCATTCAACGTTTGCTGGACCCTCTTGAAAGCTTCCACTTAATTTTTTTATGCGTGCTGCGTACCCTTTCTGTGTTATCTTCCGCTGTGAGAAATAGGGCTGATAAGTGCCTGCCATTCAAGCTTTTCTGCTCAACATTCACGGGAAACGAAGGAGAGGAAGGATGTTGAACGGCCTTCGACGTAATTTTGCGAACAATTACAATTGTTCTCCCCCCTCCAGGAGATAATCCGAGCAGAGTCCTCTCCAAAAATAGTTGTCCGCGTTGGGGTGGGAAACTGGTCAGTCCTGTTTATTCCTTTGCCTTGGTGCTGTTGTGAAAAGAGGAAGCTCTCCCAAAAAAGTGCCCCAAAACGAAGTCAGCTTGGATTCCGTCCGATCGTCAAGATGTGACTGTCGTCAACTGTGACTGTGTTATTTGAGATGTTTCTCAAATAAATTCTTTTTAGGTAATGCTGCGTGGTGTGGTACATACAATATATTGTTCGAATGTTAAAATTTTCTAAATTGTATGTTCGTGTCTTGTCCATTGGTAAACATGTAATTTGTGAGTGTGAAAAATGCATGCCTTTCGGCTATCTTTTGTTGTAATTTATTTTCAACAGCTAAGCGCTTTGTCATTTGACACGTGGCTAATCGGGCGGTGTCGTCAAAACTTATTGTAGAAAAAAACAAAACACGACAACTAACATTCCAGTCGCATTCGTTCTGTAGCGCACGTACCCAATAAAAATAGTTTACATAATTTTTTTGCTTTTCTGTTAATTCAAATGTGGTACAATGCTTTCCCAATGAAAATACATGCACCACGAAACACAAAATATAGCGGGAAAAGGCGAAAATTTAGCTGCCAGCAGCGTTTGAAACTGCGCCTACGCAGGCAGCGCCTACGCAGGCTGCGCCCTATTGAAATCACAGTTACTCAGATAGGGTTAGCAGAGACGCCGGTGAGAGTCTAGCCTCAAAGTCAGTGACTGGGCTCGAAAACGGTTTGTTGCTTCTGGGGTCGAGTGTTTCTTGGAAAGGTGTATAGTCGACACAAAACTGAAAATGGTCGGAAGTATTTCTCGCACATTTTTATGAGAGGAATTTGGGGCATTTTATGTACCTTAATACTCAGAAAATACAACCAATATCCAGCACTGTTTGCCTACCTAAATTCATCGCCGGTTAACCAAGGTGGTTTACCACGCAGCCGTCAAAGCCGTGGGGTGTCACAGCCACCGCAAGTTATCGCAAGGAAAGTGCAAATAATGGTTTGTAAAAACATCCCCGGAAGGCAGTGGTTGACTGGCTGAAGTATGCCTGCACAAAATGCAATAAAGAGACGATAAAAATTCACTTCGACCTCATTCGTAGAGTTCATGAGGCTTATGAATTTTTATTCACACTTCATTCCACGCTGCACAGCCATGCTTCAGTTAATCAACCACTGCCTTTGGAGAGGCTGTGTACTGGCATCCCCAGGTCAACAGGTGGAACAAAGTCAACAACTCACCCTGCGCTTCATGATGTAGCCGGCGGAGCACTCCAGTCGATCCAGGTCGTCCTCGCAGAATGGCTCCTGATCGAGGGGACAGGTGCCTCCTCGCTCAACGCACTCCGCATAGCAGTCGGAGCAGACGGTATGCGCACACCACAGTCTGACCGCTTTCCTGCACAGCACACCACACAGGGCGCAAGCTCTCTCCGCGATGACTGGCTCTACGAAGAGCAGTGGCCTCCAGTCCAGGGCATCGGAGAAACCGACCGTACGTCGGGAAAGAGTTCCTACGGGGCCGTGGTCGCCCGTTGCCATTTTGCTATGGCAGAAACCTGCAGAATTTAAGATCACCGGTGCAAAGATGACACACCAAAACCAGCCTAAAGGACATCTGCTATACATTTTCCGGCTCCTAACGAGTCAAGCACCAATTTTTTTTAAAATTCTGGTTGAAACATTGATTTCGTCATGAGCGAACAGTGACTGCAGCTCACTTAGTAAATTTTCTGAGAGGACTAAAGAGCTCTAAAGTTATGAACGACACTTTAGTGGATATACCTGTGCCACGATTCGGATGTGCAAATATTACTTCAAATCGAATAACGCAGTGCTGTCGTTTGATTCAATACTGCAGAGATAGCCTGTATGTCGTAGCTTTTCCTCGCATTGTACACGGGAAAATGACTCCGTGCTATTCAACCCGAACCAGTTTGTACACCCTAGTTTCATGCCTTGAATTTCGACCGTCTTACAATAAAATATGATTGAATAATGGTGACGTTTTGCCAATGTTTGTAGAGTTGTGTATTTTATAAAACAATGACGAGCATTTCAATCTGGTGGTAGCGAAAACACAGTTTGCGTCAATTTCGCTGCATCACTAATATCAAGCGCGAAGTAGGCTAAACGAACAAAATTAGAATGCCGCAACAAATCTGAAACCGAGGCAAAAACAAGGCGGAGCATCTGACGCTGGGATTTTGACGTAGGGTGCTTTCGTGCACTACCCCGACGAGCACATACCTTCCATCACCCTGCCAGCTTAGCAGTGAACATAGTACAGTTCTCATGGCAATGCCTACGTATTGTTTGCTTTCAAGTAGCACTACTACGCTATAAAATTGACACGGCAGAGGGACCACTTGCTACCATAACAGTGCCGTTTTTTTTTTTTTTCTTTTAACGACGAACACGCTCGTGCCGGACTGTGGATCTGTAAACGCTGGAATGCTTCGCGAGGCATGACCAACGTTGGACATAACGGGAAGCAGGGACCTGTCAAGCTACGTAATGTAGTTTTTTTCCCTGTCTCCTTCTCCAAACTAGAGTCAATCATGAATTGAATTGAATTATACTGCAAGCAGACATACCAGCGACGTATTTCCTTCGATGTCCGTCCGAATAGGCAGCCGGCAATGGCCAGGCGGCGCCACGAGAGTACTGCATTCAGCGCCACAAGCGGAGGCGTCTCTGTTACTGGGGCGGCCAGTTTACCCGTCGGGCCGTTGCGAGCGGCGGCGACCCAGATTTCAGCAGTCACCGTGTGCACCTGCGTGCCATGTCCCTGGTTCTTTTATGCGTTTTTTTTAAGACCATCGGGAGCCTTGACAGGTCCAAGTGTTGAGAGAATATTCTGGAGTCGTCATTTGGACACCAGTTAGAGTTGTCTTCACTACTTGTGGCCGCCCGATCGGTCTGTGCTTCGCTCGTCTCCCAGGAAGTGACACAACACAACGAGAAGGCAGCGCATGGGTTTATTGTACATCCCGGTTGCCCGGCTTCGAAAGCCGGCATTCCGAACCCGCCGGCCCTATTTGTCGCCCTTCGTTGAGAGATTATAGTCAGAGCCCATGTCCAGGCTCGCGGATCGCCCTTCCCACGCCAGTGCTGCGTAGGCTATCTGTTCCGGGCTATCACAGCCAGAGTCTCGCTGCGGAACCACTCCGGGATCGTCATGGACTAGGCCAGTATGGTCAGGGTTCGCCGCTTCCGCCGGTCCTGATCCAAACTTCGCTGGTGGAATGCTCCCGGGAATCGCCATGGGCCAGACAAGCCAGAGCGGCTCTATCGTTCCTGCCCGGCCCCAGCCTCGTGCAGCGCGCTCTTCCTCTTTCCTCGCCGGCTGGCCCCGCTCGTGCCTCGCTCGGCCGTCCTCTCCTCCCGACGCCCACACACACTAGAATAAAATTTGGGTAATTAGAACCAAACTTTGCATGCTACAAAACCGTACGCACATTGCAAAGCCTGATGTAAAATGGCGACAGGCAACGAAGTGTACGTACTACGTGCAAGAAGGATATTTACGCTTCGCACGAGACTCAGCATTAAATTTGGTTGCTGAAACAAAAACTTTGTACTACAAAAATCTACTTTTTGAAAACTCAGAGGTTTGAAAGGTGTTGGGCGACCGCGCGTGCCGAACGGCATTAGGAGTGCCGGAACGGGCCGACGAACCTTTCGCTTGAACACCAGATCGCCCGATTCTCGACATCACAGCGAAGCAACAATCGGCTCGATTGTTCCTATCGTATTTCCCTAATGTGGCTGTCAAAGCGACTCGTAATACAACTTGTATAAATGTTATTTTGCCGAGTAGTCTGCAAAATGAGTTCATTCCACCACTTTCCAAGCCCGCACATAGATTTTCGTTCACTTCCCCCCAACAGTTTCTGTAAAATTTACTTACTTGTTGCGTCGCACTGCAGTAATCCACTTCTGTCGCCGTGTCGCTTCCCAAGCTCTCGATGGGAAGCGGTGATGTTCGACGCTTGAGTCATCTTCGCGACTGTGGCCGTCTTTCGTGCAGCAGTAGCAACGTTTGTTTTTTGGGGGAACTCTAGGAGTAGGCGAGATGTCACAGGAACCCGGTGAGGTTATCGAGACGCGAAGTTGGGACTTACTTTACAAAAAACGGTTCCAAAAACGCTCACGCCGATCCGAAATGCAACGTTCTCACGTGGTTTCTGGATGCGCCCGCCCGCAGCCCCGCGTAGTCCTGGCCTACCCAGTTTCATTATTTTGCAGCCGTTAGATGGCGCAACGTGTAGCGCCAAACTGCATTGCAGGTTGCCTATCGGAGAAAGGCCGAAAAGCAACGGCCCCGCTCAAGTTCCATGCGTTCTCGGCTAGTGTTCTCAGCTTGGATTGGATAGCATAAAGCAACCAAGTGTCTCGTCGATACCATAATTTTACGGAATAAACGTAAAAATAAATCCTGGTAATAAATTAAACGTTTCGAAGCGTAACTACTACGATTTATTCTTTATGTACCCTTCGCCTCTCAAAATTCCAGGCCATTTAACGAAATCCAATCAAAACTCACATGACTTAGCCAATCCGTAAGCCGTCGCGCATTTTTCAAGTTTCAGCCCCCACTTTCAGTTTTAAGCCTTCTTTCAGCGTCGTGGTTTCAGTGGTTTCAGTCAGCACCGGCAGCAGCTGCTCCCACTGCAGCACTGCGTGCGCCGCTCACAAAGGTGGGGACTTTCTGACTCAACACATCTGCTCCAAGGTGCTAGCATAGTTCACTGTACTTCCGTACTTCTGCTCAGTGTTTGTCGGCGCTAAGTGAAGGGAAGTTGAGCAGGCGAGAAGCCGCTCAAGACGCAGGTCGCGGAGTTTTTCATTTCATTACCTTTGATTTCCTTTATTTAGCTCAAGAAAGTGATGAGGACGACATGCTCTTTTTGAACGTTGCGAAAATCGCCGCGCGAGTTTTGGAGTAACGATTGGTGTAATCTGAGCTAGTTGGTTACTCATTATGAAAAAAACCAGCTGAACTAAGGAAAAGGTAGAGAAAGAAAGAAAGAAAGAAAAAACCAGCGATCGGGTGTCTTTCTTTCTATCTCTACCTTTTCCTTAGTTCAGCTGGTTTTTTTCATAATGAGTTTTGGAGGTTCGATGGCGGGTCAGACGGGCAGACCAGCGAGGCGGGCTGTTCGATGAACGTTCTGGGTAAAGCCCTGGCGGTTGATGGTGCGGTCGCTCACTTCGGAGAAGGCAGCGGCTGCAGGATGCTGCCGAGTCGAAGTAGACTGCTGCCACCTCTGATGCATTTGACGTCCAGGGCTAGAACGTAGCACCGCGGTCACCAGCCTCCTGTCATCGTCGTCGATCATCAAAGGATGACGACGATGGCAGGAATGGCATTGCGTTTCTTTGTCTCAGATTTCTCATCTGTAGATGAGGAATTCAGCCAGTGCAGCCTGTGCAGCCTGTGCAGCCTGGGGTTTTTAACATGCATCACGCCGTAGAGAGAGTAAGAGAATAAAAATACTTAATTGCACCAACCCCGGCCCTCTGTTACCACTCCTCTCCGTGCATGTCCTTGACGTGTCAGGACCAGAGGTCGGCATTTTAGGTCGCCCTCACTCACCCTCACCCTCACAGCCACCCTCACCTAAGCCCCTCACAGCTACACTCACCTTCAGCCCCTCCCTCATCCTCACAGTCACTCTCACCTTCAGCCCTTCACTCACCCTCACGGCCCTCCAACACTCATACCCCTCACGCGCGCCTCACGCCCCTCACGCATTCATGGCCCTCACGCCACTCAGGCCCGCTTCAGATGGGGCAATTTTACCCAGATACTTGACGTCGCAACACCAGCAACACGGGCCGCCTGCGTTCATACGCAGCAACCAATTGCTGCAATTTGCCATCATCATCATGAAATTGTATCTTTTTTTGCACTATTTAGACACACAATTACGAGCTATAAACGTGTTTTTGTGCATTTAAATCTCGTTGAGAATACTAATGCATATTTCTGAAATAGTTTATTTCCAAAAACTATCAATTTCAAACCAGAACCAAGTGTTTTGTTTTCATCATCACTGGCACGAGGTATCACGTGAAAGTCTCTGATTGGCTGCAGCCGCTTCAAACGTCTTCGAATTGCTCCGAGTTAATCGCGTGTTTTGAGCCGTACTCGATCTCAGCAATTAGTGTCGATCTAGGAAAAGCTAGGGAACAACCCGCCAGCAACACCAAAATTGCTGAGAAAGTTGCTCCGTCTGAAGGGGGCCTCATGCACTCACGCCCCTCACGCACTCATGGCCCTCACACCCCTCACCCACTCACAGCCCTCACCCACTCACAGCCCTCACGCACTCATCGCCCTCACGGCGCTTATACACCTCGCGCACTTGTAGCCCTCACGGCACTTACCGCCCTCATGCCCCTCACGCACTCATGGCCCTCACACCCTCATGCCCCTCACACACTCACAGCCCTCACTCACCCTCACACTCATGAATTTTCCTGGTTCAGAAACTCACTCACCCTCACCTCACCTGTGAAGATAATGGTGAGTGAGGGCCCTCATGAGTGAGGTTTGCCGAGCTATGGTCAGGACTCGGGTGAGGACTCGAGTGGCCATAAGGTTGCAACCACTGTGGTTGCAACTGTGGTTGGAGAGCCCTGGGAGGAGGGGAGGGGAAGGGGACCATAAATCATTTGCTCAATCGATTCTAGGTTTCTAGGTGAAACGTAGCAACTCTCAGTGGGTTATTTTTGCCATGTGACAAACTCCTACGTTCTACTTTTGAGCCTTTAGGGAGCGGATACTGTGAAGAGAGAAGGCTATATAGTGGGGAATACCCATAGTGCATGAGTTTCTGGGGTAGCCTGAGCTGTGTGGGCTTTCGGGGGTACCCGTGCGGCCTTGAATATAATATTAGAAGTGCGGGAAGTAGAGCGAGAGTGCTTGGGCTCCTCTGACAACGGAGGCCTCTGCCCAGTCACGAATATAGGAATGGGATGGAGGTTGGTCTGCATGGTGTTTAATCTCTTTGGCGATACACGGTTGCGCTTCAGCACGATATTCATCCAAATTGAAATAAGCAATGGAAGCATGGAATAAATCCCTAATTCATGGGTTCTGCAGTGCCAGCTTAGATAGTAATCGTTATTGGTTCAGGAGAGCCATGGAACCGCAGAAAGGCAACAGCCCGTACCTTGAAGGAAAATTTTAAAAAAAATTGCGGGGACAGAGCACTGCGTCTGGAAACTAGATACGCCGACATACACTTGGACATATTTGCTCAATTTTCTTCATAAAGTTTGGAAAATGCTGGACTCATACTTATACCTCAATGTGGATCATCAGCAGTAGATGCCGCTACTCTTGATGTGGCATTGTTACAATGTCGCCTTGTGTTCTCTAGGTTCTCTGCTGCGACAAGATGGCAGCCGGTGACCACGGTCCCATAGGAACTGTCTTCCGCCGTATGGTTGGTTTCTCCGCTGCTCTGGACTGGAGGCCACTGCTCTTCGTAGAGCCCGCCATTGCGGACAGAGCCTGCACCCTGTGCGGTGTGGTGTGCAGGAAAGCAGTCAGGTTGAGCTGTGCCCACACCTTGTGCTCGGACTGCCACGCAGAGTGTGTCGAGCAAGGAGGCACCTGTCCACTCGATCAGGAGCCTTTCTGCGAGGACGACCTGGATCGGCTGGAGTGCTCTGCAGGATACCTTGGAAAGCGCAGGGTGAGTTTATTTATTTATTTAAGTACCTTAAAGGTCCTTTGAAGAAAAACATTGCATATTGGGGGGAACAAGCATTTCGAGGGAAAGCTCTGACTAGAGACTTTGCCCTGCCTTGCATTTGGAGAGGGTAGACCCAGCATTAAGGTCTGGTTCCCTCGCTAACTGTGATGTCATAGTGACTGTGGCATCAAATTGCTTTGATAGCTGCTGAGTAAACCTGTTTAGTTATATTCTTAATGAGCGTGTTGGTAAAGTATGCTGGATAACAGAAATAATCAAACGTAGAGAGGGCAAATGTACTCGTCTCTGTTTCGTCCTCTCTATGCTTTATTCTTTCTGTTATCTAGTATACCGTTCGGTTGACCACAGATGAAGACGTTAGGTAGGCAAATGGTGGTAGGTGTTGGGCTTTTATATTTCGGTATATTGGGCGTGGATAACGCCCCAAACAGCTCTTATAAAACATATGTGAAAGATGCTTCTAAAAACTTTAAAATTTGTGTTTACTAGTTGTGTTTAATGTGGCAACTAACAAAGTAACAATACTGGGAGTGGGCAACAGTACTAGATGCACAACTCTAGAAGCAGCAATGTTAATCTCCACTTGGGTCTTTGAAGAACTATGGCCACTGTACTATATGCAGAGGGCCCTTGTTGCTTTTCCATGAGTTTGAAGTCTCCACTTGTTTGGGCATGCTGTTTTAAAACCTAAACATAGGCATGGTTATTGAACTTTGGTAGCTAGAGCTGCCACATGCAGTGTGTCCATGCACCTTTCCAGCTGCAATCTCATTCCAGGCGATTTACAGCACGCATCCCTGGTGGATGGATGGACGAATGAATGCCAGGGCCATGTATAAAAAGAGTTTGGTTAATGGGAGGCATGGGCAGAGCCAGGGTGTGCACCAGATGCAGAAAGAGTGCTTGACTTGCTCTCTTGGCCAACCAGAAGCCGAAAAGGATCCCCCCAGCAATGGTAGCAAAAACAGTTATAATCATAGGTAATCAGTATAATCAATTTTGATCGTGCAGAAAGATGTAAGAAACGAATGTGCCATTCAAACTCTGTTTTGCTCGGATAGAGTGTGACCGCTCGGACAGCAGATTCCCGGCCCTCGGTGCCTGGCGTGCGGATTATGTCAATCGATTTGCTAGTAGCGCTCTTCCGTCATGATTGTGGATGATCATGATTGAAACATTGCGCGCACCATATTTTCAGTCACCGAGAGTTATGCCGACGCGCTTACTAATTTTGTTTCTAGCAACCACCGCCAGGGTATTCTTTCCGACTTCTGGTTGGCCACGTTCAAAGTTGTGAGAACGCTCTGGAACACGCCCAGCATGCTTTTGGCCAATGGCGTCTCCTCATTTGCCTCCTATACCTTTCAATGAAAGGCCCAACTCTCTGTGTACACGGCTCTGACGGATGCCAGAACCATGATCGATGCTAATATCTGTCCCCTTTGTAATGGACGGTTTTTTGCGCCACCTAGCTTAGCAACCAAAAGTATGATTCTTCCCCTCGCCCTTCTGAGAATGTGTGTCAGTGTGGCCCAAATGCACTGTGCTGTAAGATTTGTCAGTGGACTGTGGCAGTCTGCGTAGCAGCAATTCTCCACACCGGTGGCAGCTGAATTGCTGCATTTTATTGCTTATTTGTGTGTTTTTGTGGCAAATAGAATTTCTAGGTGCCTTTGAGAAAGCATTTTACTATCATTGAGAACAAAACCAAACAAATAAAAGCTATTTTTGGTGAGCTTGTGCATGACAGAATGAATGAAACTGGAATGTTTATTTAATTTTATGTAGATCACGCTGCCAAACACCCAACTCTGCCGATTCGCAAATGTCTTAAATGTTGAAAATATTTGTCCACGCAAGATAGCCGAAAGGCACGGGTATTCCCCGCTTACAAGATGAAATTCAACCAGTCTCATCAATTGAGCAACATACCGTACATGCCCCATGATGCTACGTTACCTGCACAGGGTTTATTTGAGAAATATATCAAATAACCAACCAGGTAGAGGGGTTGAGAATGATAAACTGGTATTCTGTTCATCAGGCAAAAGTGACCCCCCTTGGCTGCCGCCATGTTGTAGAATTTTGACCCCTAGACACGTGACCGTACACAATCCCGAGGCTTTTACGCAAAACTGAGCCGAGATTTATATTTCGATCGCGGTAAAAAAACATGATAAACTATTTTTCAATACTGTTTGCCCCAGAGATCAGTGTCTAGCTCCAATAAAACCCAAAATACGGCACTGCGGCTGGCAGCATCTAGCAGAAGCATTGCGAAGTTGCCCGAGTTTTTGTCGTAAAAGTACATTTTGGACTTAAAACAAACGAAACAACTGATCTCGTTGGTACTGTTATTAAAAATCAATAAGCAATTATCTGTGCGCGGTACTTTGTTAAAATCTAGACGTAAAACTATGAGGTCACGTGCCTAGTGGTAAAAAATGTGCAACACAGCGGCGCCCGGGGGGGAGGGTTCACTTCCAGCTGCCAGTTTATCGCTTCAAGCCCCTCTACCTTGTTGCAAATAACACAGCATATCCAATCTACAGTGTCCCCATCCGATTGTCGTGATAGGACGAACAATCGGATGGAATTACGCCTGAGGGTAAGCATCCTAAATAGGCAAATAAAGTACAAACTTTCCAGAAAGGTCGGCAAACTCCGTATACACAATACAGGTGGAGATCCGCACTGACTGGGTTTCCACAGCCGAGGCGGGTGGAAGAAATTCCTGGCTGATAGGGGTCGTGAGAGTTGCAAAATGGCGGCGGCTTAAGAGCTCTTTTTGGAAAGGTCTATAATCGGTGACAGGTTTAGAGTTCAGGAGAAGCTTCTCCCACCTCTTTCCACTTTAGCAGAGAAAATGCTGGAGAGGAGGCAACTGTCTCTTCAGCATTGGCTTTGCTAAAGTTGAAAGAGGTGGGAAGAGCTTCCCCTAAACTCTTATCCTGTCACCAACCATAGTTGTACCCAAGCAGTTCTTAGTTACCGAGAGAAACTAGGATTTTTAATCATCAAGATACAAAACTGCATAAAGCGCAGGAAACTTGAAAAAGTTGTAATCGATTGTTATTACATCTAGCACAGTTAAACTTTTTCCAACCAGAAATTCTGCTCGGAAATAGCACCTGCTTTCACTTAATTGCACCACAAAACTTGCGCACACTCCTTAGCTCATGGTGCAGACATCAGGGACACCAAATTGTTCCCCAAACAAACTGTTCCTCACATAGTATGTAACGTTTCCTTTCTGAAGGTGGCCTGCTGGAACGCACCCAGCGGCTGTGGTTTCGTCGGCCCCGTCTCGAGTGTGCTGGATCACTTCGGGCAGTGCACCTTCCACACCGTGTCCTGCCCCCAGTGTCACTCCGCCGTGGCACGAAGCAGCGTCGTGAGACACTGCAGGGATGGCTGCAGCTCATGTCCAGTCGCCAACAACCACCTCCACCTTGAACGTGACAGTATCGAGCGGGCACGCGACGAACTTAAAGAAGCCATGGAAAAGATCTCCGAAGACCTCACGTTTTTGCAGAGCGGGCTGAACCAGTGCTGCGAGGACATCCGAGCAACCAGGGCAACAGACGCAAGCCGCAGCCGGCTGCTGGAAGGTCTGACCTTCAGGCTTGTCGATCTCAACGCACTCTGTATCGCTGGCTTCGCCGAAGAACAGAGGGCCCTTCGAAACGTCGCAGCGGACGTGAACACCGCCATCACAACAGTCAGCAGCGGCAGAGAGCTCGTGGTAAAGGAACTGTGTGCGCAGAGAGACCGGCTGATTGAAGTCATGGAAGGGGTGTCCCACAAGCTGGTTCTTTTTTGTGGGCCCACGACGTACCACTGGTATGTCACCGACTGGACGGTCATGAAGGCGACGGCCCACGAAGGTCGCACCGCGTTCGCCCAGAGTGCCACGTGGAACGCCTTTGGCTACAGCGTTGGTCTCCATTTACAGCTTGTGAAGGACAAAAACCAGATGACTGTTGTCAACTGTTACTTCAGAATCTATCCCGGCGGCAGAGACTCGGAGCTCGAATGGCCCTTCAGGAAGTGTTTTGAATTTGGAATTATTCATCCCCAAAACGGGTCGAACGTTCTTTCCCACAAGATAAATGCAGATTTGCACAAGAAGAGTTCTTTTCAGAGGCCAAAAGGAAAAATGAATTTGGGGTTCGGAGCAGCCCCCATGTGCTCGGCGGATAAACTTGACGCTAAAGGATTTGTTAGCGCCAACACACTGCACATGTACTTGCGGATTGAGCCATAGCCTGCTCGTGCATTTGCATAATGTAGTGGAAGGCGGCCATACTGTTTGCACATTTTTGTGCACACATTATTTTAGAGAATGTTTGTGGAAAGATTTAAGGACAATGCTTTGCATAAGTGCATCTTTGTATAATTTCTGAATGTGCAAGAACTGCATGCTCTGTCGAAACAATGTTCAAAGGCAAATAAAAAGATGACTCGGTGTAAGAACGTTCAAAGCTATACTAGCTGCCTGTATGCCCCGGTAATGTTTTGATCGGTGAAATTAATCAGAATGTGTACAGACTCTGCATGCCTTCGAGGTGTTTATCAATGAATAGAAAGGAAACTGACTTTTTTTTTCTCCCCATATTTCTTTGGTACTGCTGCACTTGCCCACATTTGACCAGACTTTCAGAATACTCAAACCTTCACTTGCACACGCTCGACTGTTTTTCAGTTGTCAAATGCATTAACGCACGGCAACCCTTTTCGTCGCAGGCTCCGAGTGCAATTCCTCTCACATCCAGCGGAGAGGCATGTCATTGTTTCGAGGCAGACCAACTACTTGCTGCCAAAGCGTCCGCAAAATCCATGTTCTATTTGCTGTCGCTCATTCCATTTTACCGTCTTTTTTACTTTACCCTTCAGCCAGCACAGTCTCTTTCCATCATCTGTTCAAGCTTCTTATATGAAGATATAGACAATAGAAAGTTAACCTGCCTTGAGACGTTGCCATACTCGGGGAAACTTTTCTTGGCATTGCAGTGGAAGGTGCAGGCATGGATTCCTTCTCCCATTTTGAGTGCTGATTAATGCTGTGCACAGGTTCTCCTCTCCCTGGAGATGCCAAGAAAATTTGTCCCCAAGTATACGTGTGTGTGCAGTAGGCGAGAAAGTTCAGCCAGTGCGGCAGGATTGCTAGCCTGGGGTATTTTGGAGAGGTTGGGGCACATAGTTTTTTTGGACTATACAGACACGTGACCTAAATGTTGGGGAAAATACTGTGGTTTTAGTGTTTCTTCTAGCAAATTTCAACGTTTATCCTTTTTTTCGCATAGCAGACGACAATCAATGTGCTGGTTTCAAAGTGACTAACAATTTATGCCGGTTATTTTTGTATAACATACATGTGCAAGGGTGGCATAGAAGTAACACAAACAGCAATTTAATTATCAGTCTATTTTACTTGTCACAATGGATTGAATTCAGTGGGTGAAGTTAAAGCACGGAAAAGAGACAAGCCAGATTAACACCAACGTTTTAGCTGTTGCGAGTGAAAGGTGGAAGGGTCAACACCACTCCAACCTCTCATCTGCTGTCACTCACCAGGCATAAAATAGGAGTGCCCTTGGCCTTGTTTCATGAATTGCTGCAACTCGATTTAAAAGAAAAAATCGAGAGATTACTAGAGAATAGTACCAGCACATGAACGAAAGGCAGATACGTCACATGGAACTAATGATTCCAAAAGTGGGAAGGAACACTGCTGGAAGAGCAGTTTATTTAGTGTGGTTTAGATATGAAAAGTAAATCGGCCCTTCCTCGAATTGTTTGTTTATGGGACATAGGGAACATAAAGTGCGACCTCTTCCGATTGGCAGTATGGACGGACACTAAATCAACAGAGAACCTTGGAACTAAAGTTTCCTTATTAGTTATCGATTCAAAACACTTGAATGTAGTTCGCCCAGCCTTGCTTCTACACCATGTGGAGGATGCTACTGTTTATACAGTTGCAGAGCCAGATTGCAACCTCCCAGCCATTATGCCAGCAGCATTGAACATAACAAATAAAGTAGCGTAAACAAGGCAATGCCTTTCAGTTGGCTGCAGTTCATCTTAAAGTGGAAAAAAAGAAAGGACAATGCTCGGAAAAGTGTCATGGACCACTAAATTGCATGGACCGCTGAAGCATTAATTACGTCCTTTCTGCCCCTGAAAGCGTGGTTGATTTTAGCATCAACCAGCATCTACCTCGAAGGAAGTCAGAAATGTCTAATACAAGGGGGCGACTCCAGCTGCGTTTCCTCAGCGTTTTCCTGTTTCCCAGAGTGTATCACCAAGTGACATCCAAACCCAAAGTACGGAGTACACGCCTGCAAAAGATGTGAAAAACTATTACTTGCCACACTCAAATAACAAAAAAAAAATTGTCTGTCTCTATGCAGTTGCTGGAAGTCGCAAAACGTTTTGGACTAGCAATCCTTTAGTCTTATTTTCCTAGAAATTAAGGGCACAGATAGCAAACAGTGGAATTATCCATCAGGCGTTCTTGACAATAAATTATTGCAGTGGTGGAACTAAAAAACGGTGTCTTGGACAGCTCTTGTAGCACGGAACAACGGGTTCTGGGAGCAAAAATTCCCACTTTTGGAGCAAACAATTTTGAGCTTTCAGGTCCAAAAATTTTATACAATCTTTTTAAAGGTTAGCCTATGGATAAAACTTCAGCTGTTGGAGTGTTGAGAGAATATCTATTTATTGAGCAATATCGTACGCCAGTAATTTTCCAGGTGTCTCAATTAACCTATAAGGAGTACTGAGGGCATCTTCGCTTTGTTCGACGTGAAAAGTATGTTTTTGGCTACTTTGTAGGGTTTGTATCAGGGTAAGGTAATTGTTGCCAGTTCGACATCAAACGGACACTTTTGTGTGGAATGTGTCTCACGCTGCCCTCGCTCATATTCAACCTGGTACGGTTCTTAGAGCATCTAAGCTGAGCGCAAAGCTACTCTAAACGACCACGAGTAGTGCTACCTATTCATGTGGTTGAGGTGTGCACCGTTCGCACAAATATTAATAACTCTTCGTTAGGTATGTGAAAATAATGGATTCTCGGCTCAAAGCAAATTCAAAGAGAATACCGTACAATCCCGAGAGATAGCCCACCTAAAATCGAAAGAAAATTCGGTGAAAATAAAGCGTAAGCGAACCTGTAATGTCCAATCAAGAAAAATTGGAAAAAAAAAATGCTACTTTTAGATCATGCGTTTTTGTCAAACTTGGTAATGTCGCGAGGAGAAATGAAGCAAAGATGACTACTTCCCAATCGGCAATGTTCGCTTATATCCCGCCATAGCTAACTAAACGAATTTATGCCAAAGTCATCATTGATCCGAACCACGACCGGCTTTGGATAGGTTTTAGGCGCCTCTCTCACGCAGGCGGTACACCGTGCAGCAGAGATAGCGCGAAGCGATTTTTCACATTTTACTTAGAGAAGATCTGTTGCTGGTCAACCTGATGCTGGTCAAACTCGAGGTTGACCAGCATCAAACTTTTATGACGTAAGTTTGTGCCCCGAATGAGCAATTTCCACCACGCTAGTAGTTTTTGAAGGAAACTACTAAATCTAAAACAAAACAAAAAAAGGACATCTCATCGTTTATGTTGACAATGGCACGCAGCATACACACTTCACATGAAATCGCTCTCCTGCAACCGGGGTCAAAAAAATGATAAAAAAATCGCATTTTAAAATTGTAAATATATCAATTCGATTTCTCAAAACATTGAAAACAATGCGGAAAAAAAATTACAGGAATTTTAACAAGTTTTTGTTTATGAAAACCCCTCTATACTAGAACAACAAAAGCTCAGCTTTTGGTAGAGAAAAAGCTGTATTAGCTTTTCTTTTTCGCTATCTTATTTTCTTGCAATACGACATGACTTTTCCAGTTTTCGTTTCTATCGTTCGCGTTCTCACTTGATTGTAAAAACTTTCAGCCTTTCCACTCTGGTGAAGAAGGAAGACCAGCGGAGCTGTACAATGGAAAGTAATGGCAGGCCGCAAGTCGGCAAGCCAGAGTGGAAAGGCTGCCGCCATCTATGAGCGACGGCGGCAACCAGATACGTGACTTGCCGCCGTCGCTCACAGATGGCGGTAGGTGTCCAGAGTTCGGTGTGTTCATTTCTTTGAGGGGGACACGATCATGGGGAAACTAGCCCTTAACAGCTCCGCTGTAAAAGGTGTGACGTAACTGACGAGCGAAGTCGGAGGCAGAAATAAATCTCTACGCATCGATTTGCTCGGCCGAAACTGTCTTTTGCTTGTGTTCAGCCCGATAAAAATATTGCTTGTGTGATGATTCTTTAATTTCAAAACAAAACACATGCACATAGAAAGCATAAAATAATTAAAAAACTGCAGTCAAAAAGCTTTTTAGGATGTTTTTTTTAAAAGAAAGTTTGATTTAAATTTTTTTTTTTGTAAAACCGGTCTGACTTACATCATGGTTTAAATCACGATTTAAATCATCTTGATTTTTATTCCCCACTTTGGCTGTAACCCTCGTTCCGCTTTTATGTCAACCCATTTGGCGAGAGTGTTAGCGTATCTAATTCTGACGTAGTCGGAATAGAGAAAGGCGGCTTTTTATTCTCTCGTTTGATTGATGCATGAATTAAAACTACTGCGTCTGAAACAAATGACGTACTATACGGGAAGATTTGGCAATGCGGTGTCGGTATACGACATCAAAGCTCATTTTATAAATAAATATCCATAAAAAACCTCACGCTGCAGCCGTCTACACGAGCTATATTTCCCCCTGTTATTTTTTAATTTGCGCTTTATTGAAATAATTTTGATTTCGTCGGGCAATGCGTGACTTGATACAGGACGCTTTTTATACGTTACAAAATAAATTCTTATGAAGCGCAGATGCATAAGGCATCCCAACATACTTCAGTTGAGTGAACGTATTTTGCTTGAGTGAGCGTATTTCACTGAACGTTCGAATCTTAGATTTGTAGGTGAGCTTTTCTCCGCATCCCTCCAAAAGCCGGTGAGCTTTTCTCCGCATCGGACAGTTTTACGGTGAGCTTATCTCCGGTGAGCTTTTCTCTGACACCCCGAAAAAAATGTTCCTGCCACTTTTTTTTGAATATCAAGTGTTATGTTGCCACTACGTTTCAATTTTTATTGATTTCTCAATGAAATAATCACCGCAACTTACTCGCTGCTAGTCTGGGCGCATGAAGCCTTCTCCTTGACCTTTAGGCTCTATTTGGCCTATGCAAGATCGTCTGAGGTCACTGACTGAAGTTACATTACGTGTGCCTGTCTGAGGTCACCTTTAGACGCGAGTGTTGATCCTTAGAACGTATTAACAAGGAAGCCGTGACTCCCGCTGCCGTCTATCGTAGCCTTTGATCTTTGCAAACACGCGTCCACTGAACGCAGCCAAAGCGCACTCACAATCGACGCTGCGTTTGGTGCGGGCTTTTTTGTAATATTAAAACGAATACCGTTATTGACAAAAATATTCATGCTAAACATGACCAAATTAAAAAAAAAGTGTACCGTCACACCCTTCAAAATTGCGAACACTTTAAAATTAAGGTAAAAATGCACCTGAAGTGAGTAGTGAGGCAGGTATACTAAGAAACAACCATGGCGTAATCTGGATGCTGAAACGGTGTCGTGTGTTTCTTTACGTCTGAATTTATTTCAGATTTTAAGTGTCACCAACATAATTACAATAATTTGAAGGTAGATTAAGCTGAGTAAAACGCTTCGCGACACACCGTGCGCCTGTATTGAATTTAGGGTCCGTTTGCCTTGACTCCAGTTTCTTGAACCTTATTTTCTCGATATCTACTACTGTATTGTACCTGACTTCATAAGGAACGATAATGATGTGTACAAATATCAATGTAATAAAAAAACTAAACTATTCGCATATTGTTTTAGTGATATATGGTGAGCGATACTAGGCGTGACTTATACACGGTGCATGATGTGGTGTTCGAGGGGACGTAAACCACGCGTTGACCCCCAGCTTAATTTTTTTAATGGTCGTGCTTCATATGATCTAGTATGTAAACCCTTATTAAGTTTTTATGCTAGAGTATGTGTGCTCCGCTACTCTTTCAAAGGCCTGCTGAAAGAGCTTCAAGAACGCAGCTCTAGTTCATTGTTCCTCTCTTGTACATCTACCGCAGTCGACTTCGGGTTACGAACGAAGGATTGCCACGCTGTGTGTAAGTAGAAAAAAAAAAAAAAAAAACGTAAACAATTTTATTTTTGAGAGCTCAATATGTCGCGAACATTGCGAGGTGGGGGGGGGGGGGGGGGGGGGGGTTCGGGCACATTTTGCGGGTACAAAGCTTCGCCATTGAGAATGCCATGCTGCGTATTCGTTACCACGGGATATTACTTTCGCGTGATCTATTTTGCACAATATAGTTAAGTCGCGATTTTTGGCGAAAATCAGGGGTTCCTGGAAATTCGCTCGTTTACTGTAGTTGGCATCTGACTTTGGAGTCAAGTCGGCAATTCTCTTAGTTAACTGGCACCTAATGTTACCTCCGATATATATAGCATCGAAGGTATTTCGGTGTAATATATCGACAAAATGCAGCAAGCCCGTACTCCGTTTCACACTAGAGAGTTTTAGTGAACCGTTTTTGCACGTCCAATACGGTGCGATGGGTCCTCCGGTACGAACTGCGCATGCGCTTCCGCAAAAGACTCGCCCATGCGCAGTTAGTACCGCAGGGCCCATCGTATACCGTATCGGACGTGCGAAAATGGTTTCCTAAAACTCCCTAATAAATTCGACCGCAGTCAACGCTACAATTCCATATAGCCGATCAAGCAGCTCCAAAGCGTATCAACACAAGCGTCGGCTTTTGTTTTTTATTTTTTATTACCGGTTAGATTTATCGTGCAAATTAAACGCGCCGTAATCCGGCGCTTTTTTTTTTTTTTTTAAGGGACGTAATTGGTTTTTGTGGTATTTCGGATTGTATAGCGTTGGCAGCTTTCCGACAATGTGAAAAGGGAGTATATATAGGTGTGTCTAACATGAATACGAAACAATTAACTGCGCCGTACTTATTATTTGAAACGATAGAGTTGAGAAAACCATATAATAATAATAATAATAGCTTTATTTACCATGTGTAAGCATGGTGGGGGCTGAGGAAAAAAGCTGTCCAAGCAGCTTGACTGGTCCTCAGCCCCCCTCAGGTACGTACAGTGGCGAGAAAGACACTTAAAAGAACACAAGAAATTATATAATAATACAAGGTACTTTCATCATAACAATGAACAACAGACAACTATCAGCAATACATCAAACAAGAGTAACACTTGCCTATAAAAGAAATCGGGAAGTGGTACACAAGAAAGGGAAAACTGTCAAAAATATTTTAAGATGCTTCAACACAATAGCTGGTATCCGAACTTTTGCCCTCCTTTTTTACATGCACTCTAAGGATGAGATGATTATGGACATAACTGATGAACAGCTTAAAGACTGACGATCAGTTGGCTCTTTCCATTTTTTCCCTCGCTTCCTCCTGTCCCGCTTCTAACCTGTCCACCTTTGCCTGGTTCTTCCTTCCCCATGGTGAGGAGGACCTTCTGCCTTGCTGAAACTCGAGTCTGGTCGTCGGCCTTTAGGCTTTTCAGTGCATTCTGTATGTATTGAATCTGGCCTCGAAACTGTTCGTACGACTGAACGTTTTGAAAGGATAACGCATAAAATACTTTCGATTGAAACTCTTCTTAATTATTCTGTTGCATATAGAAGGGTTATGATGAAATTGAAATAATTTGCATGGTTTGTTCAACTTTTTTGTTTGTCTAATAATAAGTTACGTTTTCTTTTTCCTCTGCTAATATTTTTATTACGACCTTTTCGAGGTATTTTTTGGTATCGTAGAACATAATCTGTTCTTTACGAAACTTCAATGTTTTTCTACAGAATACATGTGTTTCTTTTAACCGCTGACACGACCTTATCTAAGGTTGCAGTACTTTCGAAATAAAGTGTAGTCCGTTACAACAAAGCGGCAATACAAGAAACTAGTAATATTGTAGACACACGTGGACTAGCTTATCATTCTCGGGGAGTCGCGGCCTTTGCAGTCTGTGGTTCAATGTATAATAGAAGGAAGGAAATATCCACGCTCGTGTTACTCTCTTAGGAAAGCTTAAGGCTCATGATTCTGAAAATTTTAACCAACTTAAATTTGAAAAAGTGAGTAGGACCATCTTTTTTATTTACTTTGAAAGTTTATTTTGCCTCGAATTATTTAGTTTGTCCACGGAGTGTAAGTAATACATTAACATGTTTTTCTACTTTACCTGGTCATCTGAAGGATATACTCTTTCACACGTTTGTTGTTTTCAAATGCTTGCTGTTTTCGTATGCTCAATGTTTTGTTTCGTTCTTTCAACTTCCCGCCAAACCGAATGGTGCTACCAACTGAGTGCTTTACTGCCGTTCAACGGCACGCTCCTTTCCGATTTGCCTCTCAGCATGAAATAATTTCGAGCACGTGCGGGTGATTTCCTTTTTTGCCATACAATATTGTTACAGGTGTATGGCACTAGTTCCTTCCAAATGTGCTGTTGAAATTCAGAAAGCGAATTAAGTGAGCAATTTAAGCAGTACATAAAACAACAACAGAAAAAGTACCAGGTATAAAATATGCGGCATGTGCCTTTAAGTAAAGAAACACGCGCGTGTTCAGTTAAACGGGAAACTTCCGTTAAAGATTTGGCTTTTTTAATACGAAGAGTTTACTGATGTATAAAAATAACAGAATCACGCACAAATTTCTATTTAGGAGGCGTTCAGTGTACGGGGTGCAGTGATGGAACTACTGCGTCATTTGAGCCATAAATGAAATTCAGCTACACCTTGCGCCAAAATGCCATTTTTGCTAAAAATTACGGCGCCGAGACTTGCGCAAACAAATAAAACCTATATAATTAATGCTCAATTTTAATATTCAGAGAAGTAGAAGGGGAAAAAATAGTACAAATATGTACAGCGCGTCTCTCCCCACCGTATATTTTGCTTCACCTTAAACACGAGTGCAGACGAAGGCTCCGCGAAACACAACCACCAAGACAAACACACTAAAAGCACAAATCACGGTGCATTCACTGCGCTTGCGCTTTGTTTGTTTAGCCGATGAAAGAGGACGCACAGAAAGGTGACTAATGCCCTGATGTTGCACTTTCGACGCTGTTTGATGGGTCCCATTGGCTCGTGCACGTGTCAGCTGCGCTTTAACTTAAGAAACAAACAAAAACAAGTTGCTGGTCATCCGCGCTGTTCCAACACCTACAGGGTGAAACAAGGAGACGCTCGACCGGAAAATTTGGTTTCTTAACCTATCGCTCTACGACTTTGTGCAGCGTTGCCCACAGATGGTGCATAGATGGCGGTGTCGTCATTTTTTGGCTGGTGGACACGATTCTGGGGATCCTTGCCCTTAACAGCTCCGCTGTAAACACAAACATTTACGAGAGTACATGACTGATGTGCGACCTCTATGTGCAATGTAATCAACCTTGACTTCTGATATCTCGATTTCATAGAGCGAAACTTTGCGGGAGGTTGATCTAAAAAAATTGTCACTAATGTGTTGATTACACTGAACAATTTATCGAGGAAGGAGATTCGTAAGTTTCGGCAAACTTACCACTTTACGTATCAGACGTATACATTTTGAAACAAGACGCAATGTCAAGCAAGTAATAATTTTATTCCTCATGTAACATCTCAACTGAGTAAAAATAAATTTATAGTGAAGAAGCGCGCTGCTAAACTCATCCACGCCACCAGGATCGCATTCAGCTAGACGCTAGATATGAATGGTTCATAATTACACAATTTGAAATTAATAAATGTCCTCAATTCCGCGGACGAATGTATCCAACTACAGAAAAACAGGGCAATTCTGTTTTACATCGCTCCGAAATTGCCATACCCCCGTTCTTTTGTCGTGTAATTTTTTTGTTTATTCCAGCATCTGAATTCTGCAGCAAACCAGCGCCATCAAAGCAACTGTCTTTGTTACCAAGATGACATTGTGGCTATTATTGTTATTTTTATGTACGGCTGTTGCGGCGACGACGAACCCTCCGTGGAAGAACCCAGAGTACGAGACAATGCAAAACATCACAAACGTGAGATCCCCTTGAAATGTTAAATATGAATTGATATATATTCGAAAGCATTTAAGTGGAGGGAGAGCAATTTTAGATTATAACAGGTCTGGTAAAATGATAAATGAGTGATTCCGATCCTTTTATATATATTTTTATAAGCTTCGGCATTTCGGAGGAGAAAGTTTCGACCCCGAAGGAGCGAAGGAGCCAGGGGCTGGTGTTTGGTCTGCTGCTGCGGATGACTGCCTCAACGAGGCGGGTTCACAGGATCATAGCGGCGCCGATGTTCAATGAAGGAGATGAGTATGGCTCCGCACCTCCACCATACTGTTAGGGTGGTGCTGTTGGCAGCAGAAAGGACAGGACAGTACACGATGATCGAACAAGCATACGATTTATGGAGGCCGAGCCGGCCCGTGGGGCCTGGCGCGAGATGGTCGTGCGCGCCACTGCCCCATCGTCGTCTTCACCTTCCTAACAATATATATATATATATATATATATATATATATATATATATATATATATATATATATATATATATATATAAATAGTAGCTATATATAACTAGCATACTATCTGAAAAGTATATGATAATGACTAAATTATTTCATGAAATACAGGCCTCAAAATTTCGCGATTTGACGTTCAAGCAGGAATGTTTGGCAATTAAAAAAAAAAAAACGAAATATATCATAATTAAATATATTTACTATATATTTCAAGCAAGCTGTTTCCATAGTTTGTTTCTAAGAAGTATGAGAATTCTCCTAATTTTATCGTTTTAGTTATTGACTTTCAAACGTGCCCTTCCATCAGTGCGCATTAATGCATCTGTCTACCTCTTCATGCCTTACAAGATTCCCTGTCTCCAATTTCTTTTTTTGCGGTCAAAACTAAGTTTGGATTTGTTTGTATCAGACACTAGACAATGGCATATAAAAAACATCAGTTGATTTAAAAATGTCTAACAGCCATCCTTTGGTCGATCTTATCTGAAATCACCCCGTAGTGCTTTGACAGCCTCAAGGGTGTCCGTGAAAATGGTAACGTTGGTCACCTTGTAGGTTGTGGGTTCTACAGCTGTCCTTATTCCCAGAAGGATTGCCTACAACTCAAGCTCCATAGTGGAAATATTGTCAGTTGTAGAAAGGCACTGCGTGCGTTTCGTTCCGAAAGTGTCCGTTTTAGCTAGAGTCAGTTGGCCGCCGGCCTCCTGGCATGCATGCTCCGTTCACGTGGATCTTGCCTCCTTGAGGGCATGTGTGTTCCCAATTTTGGTGAGCGTCCCCATCTATGCTTTAAAATTAAATGGATGAAGACGAGCTTTCATTGCCTTAATACAACGACACATCAAAGTAATAGCAGCTTTAACAGCTTAACCATTCGTAGTCTGAGGATAAGCGACACTACAAGAGCGTTTCAACACAACAGCGATTTTTCGATCTGTCCTTAATACTGCAGGTCAGTGGCGCTCAAAAAAGGGCGATACCCGACTTTGGTTGGTGAAAAGTATAACAGTAGAGACTTTTAGCAGGTCGTTTTTTCGCCCCAGTAACGACGATCGATAACGATAGGATGCATGCCCAAGGCCGCCGGAGGGGAGAGGAGGTATCGTATTCGGGGCGAAAACCCGATCTGCTAAAACTATCTAGTCATGCGAACGCAGCACGCCAGAAAGCACAAAACTATACTTTGTTTCAGCTTTGGTCCGAGCGCAGCCGATGTTATGAGCCGAAGGGCCAATCAAACAGCGAAAGAGGCACAGCGTCATGGCTTGCACTCTGCAGCTGATAAGACCAACCGGTATTCGCCGTCTCTCTGTGCGTGCTCCTCCGCCGGCTCGTCCTATCAAGTGCAGAGAGCACGCCATGACGTTCCAATTTTTACGCTGTTTGATTGGCCCTTCGGCTCATAACATCGGCCGCGCTCGGACCGAAGCTGAAACGAAGTATAGCGAAGTAATATCCCTCCCCCCCTGAGGAATCTTGCCGACGTATTTCATCTGCTGTCGACGCTGGAAATTATGGTTTGACAAAGTGAAGGAGCTGGTTATTTGTCAGCCTTATACAAATGGTATTCGGCTTTTATCACCCAATAGTATCGAGCAACGGAGATCAAATTGAAAAGTAGACGTAGTGTTGTGATTTCTTTTTATCACGAAGTAAGGCTATTTTTTTCTTTCAACCTGACAACAATATTTCCGAGTATTATATTAATCTGATTAACTCGAAAATAGGTAATTTCACGAAAAATATCTCATGACAGAAGTTTCAAATATTATTTAAGATTAGTTTCAAGCTTATTAAATGCCTAGCATTTATTGCCAGGTTAGGGATTTCATGTCTGTGGATGTAGCTTCGATGACGTCACTTCAGAGGCGCCCTGAATGCACAGTATTTAGGGTCTTCTGTGACACCACGGGAAACCATGACGCCACATGGAAGCGTGACGTCAAATGACACCGTAACGTCGCGTGACACTGACGTGGCGTAACATCATGACGTCACGGCGACGTTACGTTACACCATGACGTAACTAACACTGCAACGTTGTCGTGTCACTCGATGACATGTCACGCCTTGCCAGATGATACCATGACGCGGCATCGTGACATCACGTCACGCAACACCATAGGGTAACATGCCGTGGTTACGTTGACACTACGTCAAGTGACACCGAGACACCACGACACGTGGCACCAACGTTAGGTGAAACGATGACATCACGTCGTATCGTCACGTGACATCATTATGTCACTTGACACCATGACTTTACGTGATGTCACAGCGTCACGCGACACTGTGTCGGCTTTATCCGGGTGTTCCCGTGAAGACTCAAAAATTCGTAAAAATAGGGCGGTAGAGAAAATAAAATTCCTTTCAGGAACAAACTTCCAGCCACGACGGACGACAAGGATTGCAGAAACCTTGAACATGCTAATTAGCAAACTAAGCACCTAATATTTACTAATTAACTTGTTTTAATACACCCAGTATTGCCACGAATCCGTCGGAATGTGCCGTTCAGTTGACTCCTTAATTTACCGCAAAGGGACGAGTGCGAACAGACCGTCTTACATTACACACATTTTGAAGTCTTTGGGCAATGCCAAAGAGACTGCCAAGTTTTGTATTCTAGGAATGATTTGATTTAAATAATAAAATTAACTTCCGTGTAAATGAAATTATATCTTTTCAACCTCATTTTTTGTCTTTCCACCCTGCTTTAAAACTACTAACCCACAATATTAAGAACATGCACAATAACACAGGGTATATTTTTTTGTATTCTGCCTATTCTTCAGAGCGGTCACTGTAATTAATTGCTCGATAGTTGTTAACCGTACCTGACAATACTTCATCACAATCGTCCAACGTGTTTATTTACATTCTAGAGAATATGCGGAAAATATCACTGCATGCTTATGACAGGTAACTCGGTAGTCATTTAAAATATATAACTCGTACTTTCTTAATATTTACAGGTTATAGGAAATGGGTACACGACCTACCTTGTCTATGAAGGGACATTTGATCAAGATGTTTTGATTCAAAATAATGTTTTTTGCCTCATAATGCGGGTGGCTGATTTTTTAGGAGGGCTCACAGTTGCATATAGAAGATACAAGGAGCAAGTCGGGGAAAGACAGTACGTTTTTATAATATGATTTCACTTCATATAATATCAACTCCTTTGCTTATTTACCATACCTCAGCTGTAAACTCTTCCTATTGTCCACAAAGTCAATTTGAACTTGTGAAATTTCTCAGAATTCTCAAAGCAGGCGTTTCCTCTTGATGCTGATACAATATTTCGACGTTATACATGGCAAACCAACCACGCTAAAAAAATTAGACTGGTTGTAGTCTTGACCTTATAGATACAACATCACCACGTGTCTATGTAACTAAGTCTTAATTCTTTTTTCACATTAACAACCTGCCTTGTTAATTAAAATATCTATATTTAGAAATGTATATGCGAAGACAGAAGCGGATGCTGCCAGTTTGTGCAAGTAGCAGCTCCACATCGAGCCGGAACTGAGAGTCGCCAAGTCCGAACTCCGTTTTTGTTTTGAGACACTGTTTACGTAGTTCTTTTTACTTTAAGTTCGACCGCTGCCGAAGGTATGCGACCCGATGAAGTTAATCAAACAGCGCCCAAAGCGCATCGCCACATTGCCCGTTGTTTTTGTACGTCTGCTGTCACATGCTAAGCCAGTCGCGCCAGTGAATGCGCCACTATCCTGCGTTGCTTTTTCTGTGCGTCGTTCGTTTAACGGAGGGGTGCACAACTAAAAAATTAGGCGGGCCAAAGTTTACACTGCTACCCAATAGATGGCGCCAGTGTGTCCTCTCGTTGTAAGAGGTTTTAAGGAACCCAGTTTTAAGAGGTCGCAAGAGTGTGAACGGGCCTTCAATGTTTGGCTTAACAACAGAAAACGCTTTACAGTGGCCGATCGTTAGGGAGCCCCTTTTTGTTCCGGCGTCTGTAAGCACTCTATTTTTTTTTTTTCTTTTTGCTTGCCACTTCAATTTTCGGATAGCGGCACGTAAGCAATCGCCTAATCCACATTTTTTTTCTTTCAAATTACATCCAGACACAGACCTTACAACCGCTCGATTTACGACTGCCAAAATGCGTGTCCCGCTTGGCGCACGTGCATGCATCATTTGTTTCACTTATGGCGAATTCGCGTGGTCATTTCCCGGCAAAATATTTTGCCATATCTCCGCCAAGGGCGTTCGCGTGGTCAAAGGCTGGCTAGTGCGCGCCGTTGGGGTGGCACTTCTCAGGCGTGTGCTGGCAATTTCCCGGCACAATTTTTGCCCGAGCTCCAAGAGGTCAGGCAGCTTGTCTGCCAGACTGTATCCGGTATCGTCATATCCGAATCGGGAAAGGGAACCAAACGAAACAATGGTCGCCGATAGCGGGTTCGAGAAGGAAACGAAGCCATTGAGACAGACACCCCTCTGTGGTCTGAGAAAAGACAGCAAAAACAACGGAGATAAAGATAAAATATTTTAAAGGAAGCTTCCGCAAGATCAGTTTCCTATGGGACACAGCGTGTTATTACACCGCTGTGAAAAAAATGTATTGATAGTGCTGCAGCTCGACACTTGAACGCGCATTACTATTTTAAAAGGCTGGGTCAAATCAAAATGCTAAGGATTCCAGCAAAAAGGTAATAACAAGAAACTGGAATATAAAATGGCGACGCTGGTGAGCCTTCTGGGATCCTTGTAAGATGGCAACAGTTCTTCAAGAATCTAAACAAAATATATTATAATTTGTTTACCCACATCTCAGAGTCCGAATATATGTTGCTGATGCCTACAGCGTGCCTATTATATCATAAAATAATCGAGGAAGAAGTTAACGAAGTTCACGCGCGACCCAGGCAGACGAAAACGCCAGTTGCAGGCGCTTTGTGTTCGGGCGGAGAGGGTCACGTGGTGCGCCGCTGGCGCGGTTTTCGTTGCCTGTGCCGCCGGCGTGAGCTCGCCGGCGATTGACCACCCGAATTCGCCATTGAAATTGTCTGTTTCGAGAAAGCATTGGACGCAGCTCAACCCAGAGCACGGCCCTGTCTAGAGAGAACACATAGGGCAAACATTCTCAAGAGCCACTTGCTGCGTGGAGCGTCTATGGTAGAAGGAGCCACAGACACTGGGATTTCTGCGAGGCTCTTGACGTGTTCTCCTGAGTTGAAGGCGTGCACATATGTACGCGCGGATAACGCAGTGACGTAGCGTGTAATTGTAGATTTGATTGGACTAGCTAATTTTCAGCCTTAGTGTCATTCACGTGCAAAGGGGATTACATAAGATTGTATTCTGTATGATACTCATTGTATATATTGTATAGTCAGAAATTTCATTGTAAATATTGTTAGAAGATATCGCACTAACTCTTAGTACATTTCTAAACATTTGAAGCGGGGAGGTTTTAAGAAAGTACGGTAGTTTTTTTTTTGTTTGTTTTACTGAAACTTTTCATTTTTGACCAACATGATTATCATCACCACTTTCGTCGTCATCATTATCATCATCATCATCATCATCACAAATTTCGGGGGCCCTGCTCAGCATTAGCACAGGGGCCCCGAAAACTCTTATTCCGGGCCTGCACACGCCACAAGCCGGCGGTGGCCCCTCTCGTGAACTTGAAGAGGGGCTTTAAGGAAACCAGAGACGGCATGGACCGCAGAGTACACTCAATTATCGCCTGTTTTTTTCCTGGTACACTTTTATTTTCGGAGGAACTGATCTGGTGGCTGACGCAGCAGTCCCCCAGGCTGTTGATGCACTGTGCTTCCAAGATTTCGCGAGTCGTCTTGTCTCGAGAGTGTCCAATTATTGTTGTGCCTTTAAGGGGGACTGCTGCGCCAGCCACCCATCAGTGACTCTACTACAAACCGAAACCTTGTTTTTAGATCGAACTATGGGGCCAAGACATTGTAGTTAAATGGTGTTGTGTCGCGTGTGACACGCACTGCGTTCCCTGCGTGTCTTCCAGAACGTCCTCTTCTTCTCCCTTTTGTGTATAAATTCAGTTGCGAGCACGGTGGTTGCGAGTCAGCGCTTGTGTGTCGTGCAGGTTCATTTTCTCTGTCTTCGTCTTTGTGTCCGCTGTTCTGTTCATCATGTCATCATAGCAACTCGCCCAACTTACAACTCTTCTGCAATCAAAAAATAATCGCGTCTCTGGCAATGGGCGAAAATGCCGGCGTGGAAGGTGCACTTCGCAGCGCTATAACTATGAAGGAAACAAAATGAAGCAAACAGTTTTTCATGAATAAATACAGAAGTGTGGTGAAGAACTATCACAATAAACTTAAGAAAAATAAAAGATTTGTTTTTAATTGCCCCTCGGAATTTACGTAACTTTGTAATTTAGAACAAGTCTTGCGCGACATAAAAAAATTCAATCTTTGAGGTAAATGAATTCTGTTTATATCCCTCAAAACAACGTTATCATAAGTATATATGACATACATTTTCATGTTGTTGCTATCAAACTTTTTAATATCGCAGCTAAGAAATCTAGCGACAAAACGTCAAAGGTGTCATGTTTGCGTATTTTTAACTCGAGATATGTGGCCTCGAAAATGCTGTAGATATTTCACTCAATATAGTTCTCATGACGTATGATAAGGTAAAAATATTTGAGATTTCTAATTATTGCAGTTTGCTTAGTACGTGTCAACAAACATGACATCAACGAAAACTTCACAAGTCTAATATGCCGTTTTGGTGCACGTGCTGAAACATTTTTTTTTTTCAATTTTATGTATTTGTAAAATCTATTAAAAAAAAAACGTCCGGGCTTGCGTGCATGATGTTATCTGAACGCAGCCATATGAACTTTAGAATAGAAACTCACATCACTCTCATTGAATATTGTTGAAGTTAACAATGAATAAAACTAAAAGAAGACAAAAGCGAGTGCAGTAATAGGGAAAACGTCGATCAAATCTAAAGGAAAGTGTAAGGATGGAATTGTTTTGTTGTTTTTGATAGGAAGAACAGAGCCAACTGCGACCTTCCCGTTTGTGCTTCATCAGATGTTGATTTAAAAGAAGTCGCGCGTCACCAGAACGTGTCAACAAACATGACATAGTACGTGTCAACAAACATGACATCAACGAAAACTTCAAAAGTCTAATATGCCGTTTTGGTGCACGTGCTTAAACATTTTTTTTTTCAGTTTTATGTTTTTGTAAAATCTATTAAAAAAAAACGTCCGGGCTTGCGTGCATGATCTTATCTGAACGCAGCCATATGAACTTTAGAATAGAAACTCACATCACTCTCATTGAATATTGTTGCAGTTAACAATGAATAAAACTAAAAGAAGACAAAAGCGAGTGCAGTAATAGGGAAAACGTCGATCAAATCTAAAGGAAAGTGTAAGGATGGAATTGTTTTGTTGTTTTTGATAGGAAGAACAGAGCCAACTGCGACCTTCCCGTTTGTGCTTCATCAGATGTTGATTTAAAAGAAGTCGCGCGTCACCAGAACGTGTCAACAAACATGACATAGTACGTGTCAACAAACATGACATCAACGAAAACTTCAAAAGTCTAATATGCCGTTTTGGTGCACGTGCTTAAACATTTTTTTTTTTTCAGTTTTATGTTTTTGTAAAATCTATTAAAAAAAACGTCCGGGCTTGCGTGCATGATCTTATCTGAACGCAGCCATATGAACTTTAGAATAGAAACGCACATCACTCTCATTGGATATTGTTGCAGTTAACAATGAATAAAACTAAAAGAAGACAAAAGCGAGTGCAGTAATAGGGAAAACGTCGATCAAATCTAAAGGAAACTGTAAGGATGGAATTGTTTTGTTGTTTTTGATAGGAAGAACAGAGCCAACTGCGACCTTCCCGTTTGTGCTTCATCAGATGTTAATTTAAAAGAAGTCGCGCGTCACCAGAACGCGTTAGTTTATTTTTTGTTCTTGAAATTTCTCACTAAACTGTTGCCAGATTTCTAAATATCCGTCACCAGAAGAAAAAAAAATGTAGAAACTAAACATTCCACTTCAAATTGAACATATAATACATTCTGTGATGAGATGAGTGTAACCATACGAAACAGATTTGCGAGGAAGCCGTCATACGGCCGCAAAAGTTAAGCTTACGTCCCACTAAGATTGGGTGGGACGGAACATTGCCTGCTAAATTTATCCAAATTAATGATTTATAATTTTAGATATATTGATAAATAATTCATTTTAGGGAGGGTAATGTACTCATTCTTCCGCTGCACATTCTGACTTCGAAATTTATCTTTTGAACAAAGATATGTAATTCTATAATACTGCATGAGACACATGCAACAGTTTTGACCTGAAGAGAGTGATATATCCTTAACTTTCAGAAAGGAAATGGATTTATATCTCGAGCCACAAAAAGACCAGGAATATAACGTAGACAATTATATGAATGTTGAGGATGAAGACTTCGAAGGTAGATATCGCCCTTGGCTGAATTTTCGCACGTACTAGAGCCTACCAACACAATCGAATAATACAATGACGTTTATACTGTTTCTTTTTTAGAAGTAGCGCAGATGTACCTCGTATACACTGATTACTCATCATGCGCGTTGTTCTACTATGACGGAGAAGGTGAGCAATTTTTACGTATGCAGTTTGACATCCGTTTCTGTCTTGACGTTGCTACTTAATGTATGAATAGTTGCCAAAGGGAACGCCGGCGACATAATTTTGGAGTCTTTGAGCGCCATTTTATTACAGCTAATTTTTTTTTCAAGAGTGGCTGTTACATGACGATGACCAGAAGGATTCCTCCCAAATAATTTTTAATTGTGGTTAAATATCGCGGAACTACGCTGCTTTTATACCCGACGTTGTGCAATTCGTTATCTACTTTTCTCGATCCATATAGTGATTCGACACATTTTGCTCTGTGGTACGTTCAAGAAACGCATAAATATAAAACAACTGCAGCCGAGGTATAAATTGCTAGTATGACAATTAGCATGTGCAGTGGTTTATTTGTATTGGTCATTCTCGTAACGAATGTTTCGAGTACCCGTAGCACGTTCAATATAACAGATGTCGTACAAAAAGAAAAGGGGGGCGACCGGTACAAAACTTAAGCCATATGCATGATGCTATACGTAATGACAACTTAAGGGCCGACGTACAACCTCGGTTTTTTGAAGGGAAGATAATAGGAAAGGGAAGATAACGCTCCCCTTTCCTAAGCTGCGAGGGAAGCCCGGGGGGGGGGGGGGGGGGCAATGTCAAGCGTGGAGATAATACAGTAAAGTAGGAGGAAGGCAAAAGTGGAAACCGCGAAGTGTGTGTCGTCAAGAAATACATTAATTAATCACCCTTCCTGCTTGGTGATTTTTTTTTTGGCGTTTTGTCAGCTAATGCCGCTAATTCACTGGGACCGTGTGTTAAGAAGAAGTAAGCGATTATAGATGTAGGTAGAAGAGTAAAATGCCAGCACACGGAAATCTTGCAATCAAATTATATTGCCAAAAACCGTCTAAGCAACGTGTGTCATATATGGTATGGCTCAAAAAGCCACCATTAGTTCAAATCGCCGCTGTTTTTATAACCTATGCAGTCAAACGGCTTACCTCTGATTTTCAAGTTCTTCGTGCGAGGTCTCCAGCACTCTATTTAACAAGTTGATGCGGTTTTTTTTTTTTCAGACGAGTACGAGCTCTGGTTATACGAAAAACCAGATGGCATCGCAAGCGCTTGTGAACTTCTCCTTGCAATGTTGTCGGACAAAACACGGAATGTGCACTACACGAACGACTGCAGCTAAGACAGACTGCGGTTAGATGAAAATTGCAGAAAGTTTCCAACATGTATCAAAGTGAATATAAATGCAGAATTCACACAAGTACTTCATTGCCAGCCCAGAAAGAAGCAAAGTGTGTATGTGTGTGTGGGATTGTGTGTTTTTGTTTGCGTTCGTGCTTTTCGCTGAAAATTCCTGTGAGCTTAAAGTTCGCTTATTCTGAGAGTGAAGGAGCGTTTTTTGAATATACAAAAAGCGTTCCGGAAACCAACCAATCAAGTTTTAAGAAGTTCATGATAGAACTCTACATTTTTTACTTTATTTCAAAAATAAATTAGGAAATGACAAAGTAAAACATTATTATAACATTCTACACTATTACTTATCTCATTATAAATAAAATGTCGTGGCGGTGCGTGGAGAAAGCTATGTTTCTGATAAAATGTAGAGATAATATTATGCAAATCAATGAATTTAAATCCTCTTATTTGAAAGATTATGACACGTTTAGAACTAAATGACTCTGATGCAACTTATGCAACGAGAAACAGTGCGAATCCGAGCTTTTATTGTGAAAATATCTCGCAAGTATTTTCTAAAGGGACATTGAAATGATTTCGAAACTACGTCCTCCTTAGTTTTAATCCTCGCCTCAAAAGCGAAAGAGAAATCACGTGATTGTGACGTGCTTGGACAACGGGTGCGACGACTCCAAGCTTTCACCGTCCTTCCTTAAGCATACCATGGAACTTATCATTCGCAGGTGATGATACGTGCACTCACGGCACTCACTGGCCAAAAGACGTGATTCGTCTGTGGATTGATTGCTGACAAGCGAATGCGTCCGAGTGACACAGTGCTCGTGTCCAATGCGTGAGCTGGGCTCGGCTGACATGCTTGGGCGCCGCGGAGGCATCACAGTGAAAAGGTAGAGAGCTTTTAAAAGAAAGGAGGTACAAAATAGTCCGCTATATTTTGAAATTTTTGTACCGAAAAACAGGTTTTTTACTTTTACCCTCTTTCTTTTGGTCAATTAAACAATATCCGATTAGTAAAAGCTCAGTATAGAATCATTTATATCAGCTGAACATTAACTTCATAGTCCTTTTAAGGAGCACACAAAAAAAAAAAAACGAGCAAATTAGTCTTTAGTTGTTTATACAGCAGGAGTTTAGTCTGCCAGAACATGGTAACATTGTTACCCGCTGTAGATAAGCAATTTAGCCAGTGCAGTACGACTGCTAGCCTCGTGTTTTTAGCGTGCACCGCGCAGTAGTGGTACACGACCGCACGCCGGTACAATGCTCATCCAGATCGAAACGGGCAGGCGTGGGGATTGAACCCAGGATCCCTAAAATCTGCAGCGTGAGCTTTCGCTCCACGTGCTCCGAGCTGGTGTGCGCTAGCCCACTCGGCCACCGATCCTTTTTTTCTCTCTCTTTATTGTCAGCCACCAATCCCCCCCCCCCCCCCTTTTTTTTTTTAAGAACAACAGAAATAATGGTACCTGTGTGCCGACGACCAGAGATCCAAGACGAGGAATTGGGACAGAGACGTTTTGAAAAGGAGCTGGTGGCTCAGACGAGATCGACACGCCAGATTAAACTGCTTTGTTGCTTTTGTATATTGTAAATAAATGTTTGCTTTAACGTAACCAACGACGACTACCAGGAGTTCCTACATTTGCTGCCGAACCCGGAATGTAACGACTCAACGAAGGGAATCTAGTAGACCACAGCAATACTTATCGAACGACAGAAGAAAGCAACATTCCATCGAGACAAGACTGCAAGATCATGGACGTCCTCAAGAAAAAACGGAACACTCTGCGAGTGCAAGTAACGAAACTCCTCAACGAGGCAGAGGATTTACTTCAGCTCACCATGGTGGTCATCGATGATCTAGAGTAAAAAATATAAAATAGCGCAACAGAAAGACAAAGACAAGAAGTATACAGGACAGGTCTTTGTCTTTCTGTTGCGCTATTTTATGTTTTACTAAGATGAACCAACTAGCCCAACAACGTACCCTACTAAAAGATGATCTAGAGATTTTGATCGAGCGCCTAAGCCTCGCTCGGAATCAACTCAGCCACGTAGATGCCGCGATCGAGCCTTTGATTATTGAGATTGACGCAGAAACAGAGTTCATGCAAGAGACTATACCGACAAGATCATCACATGTTTCATGAAGCTCAAAAAAAAGGTGAAGGGCGTGGAGAACAGCCAACAAGCAAGCGGTTCCTTGAACGACGATCGAAGAGCAACACCGGTAAAACCAAAAATCAAGCTTCCAGAATTATAAATTATCAAGTTCAACTGCCGCCGGAAGAATCGGCAAGCATTTTGGGAGCAGTTGAAACTACCATCCATGACAACCCGGAGCTCGGAGCTGATTCCGTCGGAAAAATTGAATTACTTGAGATCGGCGCTGACCGGAAATGGATCAGCTGCCATACTGGGACTGCAGCTAACCGCTCAGTGCTACGCCGACGCGATCGACCTTCGATAGCAGCGGTTCGACAAGCAAGAGGCTCTGGGACACGCCTATATAAAAAAGTCTGATGGGCATCCAGAAGGTGCCACCACAGGGAAATGCCCAATCCCTGCGTCGCTCCGCGCTCTTTGCATTGTGATAAGTAGCAAACAACTTTTTGAATGTTGTGCATAGCTGTTTTGGAAGAAACATTATCTGTAAATGTTTCTTTCACCTCTAGCTAACCAGGCTCTAGTCACTGGCAAACATGCCTCCATGAAATAGCTCAATTCTTCTAATTAGTAAGACTATGTTTAGAGAAGCCTAAACTGACCGTTTTATTAATAAAAAAGTTATAGCGCCACATGATAGAATACGTCTAGACTCAATTTTATTTTTTTTACATATTTGACCGTTTTACCTACACCTAACCTCAAATTAATATGCTTTTTTTCCACGCAGTAGCAACTATTATGAACTATGTTTAGAAGGAAAATGTTATTTTTCGTTTTTATTGTTATTTTTGACAAAATTGCTTGAAATGGACTACTTGCCAAACAATGCAGTGCAGTATTCGAAATTCGTTTCAGTACTAAAATATTTTAAGTCCCATTTTTGTTTTATCCTGATTCCGCTCGCACTGTGATCCCAATTTGTGATTGCACTGTGATCACAATTTGTGAGCACCTGATTAATTTTTCTGATTTCTGTATCTTATATGAGATCCTACTGTTCTTCCTTTAAAGAAAATTTGAAGGCAATTTCGGATATTCGTTTTTTGGGCGATTGAACTGGGTTCCAAACACGTCTCAGGCCACGTTGCCCCAATTTCAGCCAAAACCGGCGCTTGTGTGCCGCGCAAATCAATTAAACAGTCGCGGTAATACTCGTACCGGGATCGACTGGGGCGATGCCCTGAGAGTTGCGGGAGAAGCCAGGAGAAGCGGAGTTCGCGTGACGTTGCGGCGCCTAGAAGCACGACGTCACAAGAGAGGCGTCAGCGATTGGTCGAAACGAGAGACGTGCCCCTCAGTCACGTTTTGGTTCGCGATTTTTAGAAATACTGTTCTAATTTCCCTTTGAATAACCATGAAAAGTATAAATCGGTCCGGAAATGATTACTAAGCCGTAAATGAAACAGCATAATTGTTTTTCTCTTTGCTACGCTGGGTACGAAACCGGCAACACACAACTATGGGCAAAAAAAATAAAAAAAAAAGAGCACTGCGCGGGAGAGGTTGAAGGTGTTTGGTTTTGGTTTCAGATTAAGTGTCGTGTTTACTTTGGAAACACGGTGCTCGAAGGATTGTGCTAAGTGGTAGTCATGCCAAATTTGTGTGCTGTAGATGGCTGTTCAAACGGCCGACTGAAGACCAGTATTCGTTCGGCCGACGCTAGTTTTCACGTGTGGGTTGCTGTTCGTGTTTTTTGGCGACGAAAAGGGAAGACGTCAGTCAGACTTTGGTGAAAATCAAAAATGGTGCTGTTTATTTTCTACTTCTTGGGGAGCGTCCCCCGCAGAGGAACTGGTTCCCAGAACGGGTCGCTACCGCTTTCCTCCCGCGGCATCTCCGCCGCGTCCCTGTCCTTGAGCAAAGCGCCGCTCTCGTCCTTTCCGCGCGCATGTTGCTCACTGCTTCGCTGCTCGGAGCCTACGGGCCGCTCGTAGCCAGCTGGGTAGTCTCCGTCGGGTGATGGCGGAAGACGCCACACAAGTGCTCCCGTTCCGTTGGTGTTAGGTCACTGAACGGAAGCCCGAACTCGCTCGCGAGAGCGGCATTGTCGTCCATGTTGACAGATCCGACAAAACGACCGCGCCACCGCGCTGCTATAACCCACCGTGGTAACCAGAGTCTCGATCTCCTAAATACTACTGAAACCGACTATTCACACTTCACGTCACTACCTACGTCACCTCTGTTTTCGGAGGCTCAGAAATGAGAATGGAGATTGTTCAGTTTCGGTTTCTTCAGTTTTTTTGTAGGCACAGAAATACGCGTCACAAATGTCTACCAAAAATTTGGCAGCGTGCTAGGTTCCCAAGAAGCCTAAAAACACCATATAAAAAGTTAAATAAAGTTGTCTTCATTGACTTTTTAAAAGGCCTCTGACACGCCGAAAAATTGCAGTGACCGCCAGCGCCATGTGACGTGACAATGTACCGCATGGTGTCGGGGCAGTCAGAAGGGAGGCATCACCCTACGTCACTAAAAGTGTTTTTTTTTTTTTTTTCTTTATTTGTTTCGCGGGTTTGCCGCGTAGGGGGCAGAGATAAAGGCGTGATGCCTGACAAAGCCTCTGCCCCCTAAAGTCCAGCAGCTCAAAGTAGTTACATAATAACAGATTCTGCAAAACATCATACAGGTAAAATAAAACAAGAGAAACAAGTCAAAGAAACAAGAAAAATAGACACTATATTCATTTGCTAAAAAAAAACTCTATAGACGAGTGTTGGTCGTAAGAAACCAAAAACAGTAACAACAAAAAACTAGAATACAATCTTGTGCTCCTCCGACATATCAGCATCACAAGCAAGTTCTCATGAAGGA